GTTGTGTTATAGATGAAAATTGATGTAACGTCATCATGACGTAATCACGTGACATGTTACGTCATAATTCAAAGCCCTATGAGAATGTAAACACCTATTATATGCCACCATTTAATATAAACAGAAGTACACATCCTTCCTTGATGGAACTTATACTTGCAACTTTACATGTCCCATGTCACACAAAGTTACCGAAACAGCCCTATGTTTGTCCACAAACATACTTGACATAAATCTAGTTCCTTCATTTGTGTTACTTGGGGCGTAACTGGGGTTCAGTTTGCAACTCTGAGCAGGGAGCACGAGCCTCGAGCGGAGAAGTTGTGCCTTCCATGCATCCGCGTATATTGCAATCCCTAAACAAGGACATGTATTTGGCCTCCTCCTGTTGCATGCATGCTCGGAACTTCATTGATTAATTAATGATCCAAGTTAAATTCAACCAGGTAACTTAATTGGTCGAATTTGTCGAATTCAGTTCAGTTGCAATTTTACATGCAAGTTAGAGCTAGGAAAATATATCATGTACAAGGACACAATATTCGTGTAATATGATTATCGTTCGTTTCAAAATCGGCAAAGGATTTTTAATTGACAATATGGTATGGTAATTTTAAGACTTTGATAAATGCCATATATCCAATTCCGCTTGCTGCCTCTTTATGCACATGCGTGCATACATTTTAATTGCAGGGCTCATTTTCTGTGTCAGATGCTCGATGACAATGATCTTGGCCTTGGTTAGGCCTTCCTTCCACATTCAACTGCAACAGGGAGATGCCGTCCCGTACGACATTTGTACGTGTCCGCCCTGAAATGGGCGCATGCTCCGGGTCGGCACCGAGCTGCGGCGGCTGACGTTGCATTATTGAGGATGTACTTGCTTGACGGTATGTGAAATGGCTGTTTATTGATTCTGCTTCTGCTATCTCTGTTGTTTTCGTTCGCCTAACAGAAGTCAGTTGACAGGGCTCATCACGTGGATGTCAACAACTTGAACCCCCCGTTGACCGTTTAGATGGTTCATTCGCCACAGTCCAGATACTAGATACTAGTGTTGCTGCTGCCCAGGGATTTGTAATCAGAGTTGTGTGATCATAGACCGGGAGCTAGGTTGAGTTTAATTAACAATTTGAGCACAAAAGGTTTGATGGTACCAATCGATTGCCCGTCGGGGGGTAGTTCCGAAATGGCCATTCTTAAGTTGCCCTAAGTCGGATGGGGGTCAGGGGACCATGGTCAAGTGTCCACAATTTTGAGTTTAATGAACAGGTCGCACACAAGCGCCGTTTTTGGACTTAAGTTTTGAGATTGACTCCCTGATACCAACAATGCTACTGTAGTAACCTCCGCGAGGGGCAGGGGTTGGGTGGAGTCTCGTTATCAACTCCGAGGAGGGGAAGTGATCCCGGGTTCCGGGCAAGAAGAAACGAAGAGTCTTGAGACACCGATGTATCCCCCAAAATCTACTGGTTTATTACGAGACTGAGATCCATGGGACACAAAGTCAACCAACATGCAACAGCGACGAATACAACTTATACAGATCTGTACGGAAAACACCACGGAAAAACCCTACGAGAGAAAAATGCACAAAAACTAGTTCATGAATTTATCCCTCACATTCAGTTTATGAATACAATTACATTATGATGAAGTACACTATTTAAAGTGAGTCACATTTTAACCTTAAATTTATCTCACAAAATACATGTAATAACAGGTCCGGCCGCCAACACTCACCCAACACTGGAGGGTTTCAGAACAACCTATGTCCCACGGCCGGTGTGCATGTAGGCTAGCAGCCCCCTGCCTGATGTACTATCTAAAAGCCCTGTTTATGCTGCATACGAAACAGAACACTTTTCGTGACACACAGCACAAACCACACAGTGGAGCGATTAGGAAAATGTATTACAAATGTATCAATTTCACCCACCGCTCAGCTGAGCCAACACAATGCGTGCACAACTGCAAAAAAAGCAACGTGTATTCCACGCGCAAAATCATGTGCACTGAAAACGATGAATTGTGACGGTCATGACCCAAAATTACAAGCTAAAATATTCCATAATCGGTTCCTACCCAAGCCATAAAGTATATAATCTTGATCCCCAATAAGTATGCTTTCATGTGATATACAGATGCCCACCAAGATCTCCTCAGAGAGTATTTTATGAAAGGTTTTCTCACCGAGAGCCATCCAGGTCGAGGCCTGGTCTGTTACAGCTCATTTGGAAAAAGGACCGCTGCAACACAGTGAGACGCAAGGGCGCCCTCTGGCCGATAAGGCGATAAATAAAATTACACACCCCTACACTACTTAAGAACGGAAAAACGTCGGATAAAGTTACTTAAGAATGAGTTAAAGATCGTATCTATTGTTGATGTACCCTAACGTGGCGCGGCCCCTAACGTGGCGCACTTTGATTTTTCGCCTGTAGCGCCTACCTAGAGCAAAAGTTTTAACTGAAATTTTACATAAAGTGAAATTTCATCAAGTTTTAAACACTCCTGTTCAGAAATCGCAAGTTTATTTTCCCGTAACAAAGTTTAAAGAAAAATGTATTTTGGCGTGATTTTCCGATTTTATTTTCAAGTGCAGAGCGAAGCCTTTGAAAATGCCCCGAAAAATAAGAAAATAATTTTCTGACAGATATCTGGCTGGGTATGTAAGTAGGGATAATAAAAAAAAAATTCAGAATTTATCAAGTTGATAGAAATTTTTAAATGTTAATGTGGAATTTTCCGAGATTTATTCAAGTGCGCCACGTTAGGGAACCCTCCGCCAATTTGTGCTCAATTTCTGGACGCAACCGTTTTTGAATTTCAGGTTAAATTTTATGAAACTGAAATTGTTCACATTAATAAGGTAAAAGTACTAGTATTTTACTGCATGAATTTGAGGTTTGTCAACAAAGCGGTTTGGCAACACTACACGAGGAAAGTCGGGTAAGCTTCGAAGTGCGCCACGTTAGGGAACACGACTATATATATGTTTCTATATATACTGTATACAAAATGTACACGTATATGTCCTGGTCAATAGTGGAGCTCCCTAGGCCCATTATTTGTGCCTAAACCGTGCCCAAATTTGTGATAAGAGCATGAAATACGGCGTGCAGATCCAAAACGGTCTGAGAATCATTTTAAGAGGTAAACCCACCTTGAAACCAGCCAATTTGGGGGCGGAGCTTGATTTTTTTTAAAGGGGGTGAAAGGAATAAAACTCAGAAGAAGTGTATTTATTCATTTTCTTTCTTTTTCCATGCCTTGAAATAAATTTGGACATGACATAAAACATTCTAGTATTTTAAAAGTCATATTTTCCGCCTTATTTGTGGGCGTGGCCTAAATGTGTAAAGGGGTGGTGTATACGAGTGGTTTAATCCAATTGTGACAAATATCGTTTATTTTCTTGGCAAAACTTAAAATGGGCTGAACATCCTTACGAGAGGGATCCACTTTCGAAAATGCCTACTGTGGGGGCAGAGCACAAAATCCAGAAAAAAACTGTATCTGCAGCATTCAGTGTTCTTTATAAATTATGTATGCTTTCAGATAGGCGTAACATATGAAATAAAAAAAAACATTCTAACGTTAAACCACTAGGTACTGTCACCCATTTGGTGCGCATGGCTTAAATTCTAAGCGATTTATGGAAGCACCTTGATTCAAACAAGGCCCAACTCCTCATTTTGGTGATAAAAACACAAATTCTGCATTCCTTAACTATATCTTTTACAATACACTGTAAAGACCATGTCAAAGGTATAGCATTTTGCCCCTTTTGTGGCGCTACATTTTAAAGTAGGCCTACATGGTAGGGGAAGAACAGTATGTATACTACTGACGCAAAGTAATTTAATCTACTTCAATTAAATAATTGAAAAAATACAGATTAGTATGGGATGAAAGGCACCCCAAAGTTCGCCGATCCAATTTGTACGGGGACGAACATTCCAGGCACACCGAATGCAGGTCGGTAATTCTGACTGCTCACTGTAGTTAAATCGTTTCACGATTGTTCATTCAAATTTGCATAACTTAAACTGCTCGCCCCAATAGGATTAATCTGCTCGCCCCTAGTTTGAAAAAAAATATCAGAAATAGTCATTGCCACTTTTTTTAGCAAGAAAAACAAATAATACAATTTGAATGCCACAAAATAAATAATACATTAATACCATCATAAAATAAGTAATGATTTAATACATCATAATAACAAATAGCAACAATGAAAATATTGCTTATAAAAATAAAGATATGTCAAGATTATATTTCAGGTGCGTAGCAAGGTCATTTTAATTTCTTGAAAAGGGCACTCGCACATCCGTGCTGAAATGTAGACAGGTAGTTTTGTCCGGTCACTTGGCCTCCAGAAAATCCAATAGTGGGGGGGGGGGGGGCTGTTTAAATCGGACGATCATAAACACTATCGTACAATAGATGACGTTTAATAATCCGAAGGTTCGTATTTTGTCCGAAGGTTTGATAGTCCGAATTTAAAATAAGCTTAATTAGTTCGAAGGTTCAACAGTCCGAAATGACTTGAAGGCTCCATAGTCCGAAGGCTCATTAATCTGAAAGCCCACAAGGTTTAATAATCCGAATTGACAATAAAGTTCAACAGTGCTGTCACGTCAATGTTCAACCTTATTGTCAATTCGGACTATCGAACTTTATCGTCTATTCGGAACTTCTGAATATTTAAACGTACTCTATTTTGGACTTATAAACATTTCGGACTATCAAACCTTCGGACTATCGAACCTTTGGACTAACGAACCTTCGGACTAACGAACCATACATTTGGACTATCGAACCTTCGGACTATCAAACCTTTGAACTATCGAACCTTTGGACTATCGAACCTTTGGACTATCGAACCTTTGGACTATCGAACCTTCGGACTATCGAACCTTCGGACTATCGAGCGGTAACTATAATTTCAAACTCAGTCTAAATCACGGAATCGTTTTGTTTTGCAGTTTGCAATGATGGATTTGGACGCTAGCCTGAAAGTTGTTGGCCTGGTTGGTCGCATACAAATCATCAACTTTGCAATCTTCTGTTTGGGATCGTCATTAGGGGCGATACAACTTACAAGCATCGTCTTTACTGTCGACCAATCCGTGGTGCATCAATGTAAGCCAGCGCCGGGATTTTCGGCCAACGAAACTCGGCTTGTTTTTGAAGAAGATGACCGACTAGTATCGGATGGCTGTTACATGTACCAATTCGACGATGGAACACTGACAAAGAACGCAACGAAATGTCAGTACGGCTGGGAATATGCTCCAGAATTTGGAGAAAGAAGTGCAGTTACGGATGTAAGTTAGTCACTCACTTTTTGGGAAACATAGCAACCAATTTATGTGGATATATTTAAGAGTGTTTTTTTTTGTCAGGAAATCATAACTAGACTTGTTATATAGGACGACAATGTCGGATACATCACGTAAGTTCATCATATGCGCGCGAATTACACGAAGTAGGGGACTATAGCATTATTACACCCAAAAGGCATGACTTCTTTGACGGACAACCTCGTTCTCATGGAAAGGACCGTGTTGCGCGAGTTTATTATTACCCACCATGCGCGGTCTTGCGTGAAGATACGCGTACGCCGCCGATGGAGTCGAGGATGGGCGCATTGACAATGACGTTGAAAGTGTATGTCGTATTGTTTTCTTCGTCACTGAAGACTACTCATGCAAACAGTCCACATAAATTGTTACGTCGTACATAACAAGTCATGTATTTTTGTGTTTCTTCTTCTCCTAGTTTGACCTCGTTTGCAACCGTGGCTATCTTGCCAATTTATTGGTGTCCATTCACTTCGCTGGTGTCCTTGTCGGTGGTTTTATCACAGGCCAAGCTGCAGACATGTTCGGTAGACGGGTCGTCATCATGGCTACTTTGCTTCTGATGAGTGTGCTGGGCACAGCCATCAGTTTCTCGTGGAACTTGCAGCTCCTCATGGCTCTAAGATTCCTTTTGGGTGTGGCAATACCGGTAATTATACTGCCGTTTATAAGTATGCAGAATCATAGGAGGGGAATAGTCCAACCAGAATGACTTCGTCATTATCTGCGTTGAAAAAGCAGGCGGGAGTCACAGACATAAAAATACCACTGAAAGACACGAACTTAGCAAACACATTTTGTGAGCGTGTTTGCAAATAGAGGAGCGCCATAGTTGCACCAAGTCCTTGAGCAAGTGCCTCTACGTGCAGTTTTAGCGCCTTTATCTTTGGACTCATAATACCATTTTCCAGTGTTAAAATGAATACATTTTTTTGTAGTTATCTCCAAGGTAATCCTCAATTCAACAAAATATTGAAATTTCCAAATATTTCAAATTGACGTCAAAAGGTCAATTATTGTATTGGGTCAAAACCGTCATTCTGTATGGGAATTCCTAAACCATTTCAAACGTTTTGTTTATTGTTTGGTGCTATTGTTTGGTGGTTGTTGGTAGCCTCCTCTCCTCATGATTTAACACAACACCTCCTTAAAGAAATTACAATTGATAACTCGTTCAATTGAGAGATCATAATTTAATTTCAAACGAATATCTTCCAACTAGGATACAGCAACTTAACAGCACCCAATTTGCCATGTGATTTTTTTTGTGATGGGAAAGAGGTGTTGTTTGCAGGTTCAAATGCCACTCCGGTCTCATTTTCAAAGTTTGTTTTGTTTTCTCATAGGGGACTTGTTTAGTTAGTCACATCCGAGTGGTGGAGATGTTTACTCCAAAGAAACGACCACTCGCCCACATGATCTTCCAGCATGCCTGGACTTTGGGTAATGTGCTCGTCGCGCTTTTGGCGTTCTTGTTCCCCAACTGGCGATACCTCCAGCTTTTCACGTCTCTCATGTGTGTTCCAGCCTGTGTCATAATGTGGTAAGAGTTTGCTATCATTTAACAATAATAGTTTGTTTTCTGCTCTAATTTAAAAATAAATAGGACTGCCTAGCTAGTCAAGTTCTCCTCTGGAATCCTGAAGCCCCTCGACGAAAAGGTCGTCCCAACATGACCCTGAAAACATCCATCGAGCTAGAAACTGGTCTGAGTGGTCCATCTCTTTCCAACACTATGCTCGACAGGGACAGTTGGGCCCAACTCATCAAGTCATCATGAAAATGAATGAATGAAGAAGAAGAAAAAGCTGTTCTAAAACACCCCCCAATTCTCTGGAGAAAATACCACACACAAGCCGATACCTATACACAAAAACTAGTTTTGAAATGCTACTTGTGAATAGGAAGACAATATAAACTTTTCAAATCAGTTGGAAACAGGAATCGTCAGAGGTTTTCCATTCTACATGTATTACGGTTAAGTGTATTTAGGTTAAGTGGAAACCAAATAACTGCAACGAGTAAAGCAAAATACCGTACCCGTAAAGTTAGTAAAAGAAGGGAGTAAATGAACCTAATGGAACTTTCTGTGCCACTCTTAGGTTCTGCACATATGAATCAATTCGATGGCTGGTTCAGAAAGGCCGGTTGGATAAGGCAGAGGCCATTCTCCAGAAAATCGCCAAATCCAAGAACATCAAGCACGACAGAAGCTTCCTCGAGAAGCTACAAATGGAAGGTGCGCCCACGCCTGGGAACACTGCGTTCTCCGAAACACCGACGAACGAGCACGTGACCGATGAACGTGAGGGTCCAACTGCGGACGTGGGAGAACGTAATGAAGGCAGGGAAATAGGAAATCCCACTCAGGCAATCTGCTCTGAAGAAGATGATGTGACGAAAACCAAGATTGTAAAGAAGTACACTGTGCTTGATCTCTTCAAGACCAAAGTTCTCATCAAACACACCTGCATCATTTTCTGCTTTTGGTATGCAATATGGAAGGCTTAAATAACAGTTATATGAATAAATCTTTGGTCGATTTCAACTAACAAAACTAGAGGCACTTTCAGTAGAATGCAATACATTGCAGTAAATCACGCCATCTATTATTTCATGTACTAATTTAAATGTTTCTTCACTTTTGCAGTTAAGCTCGCAGACATTCTCAAATGCATTGTCATTTCTTTAATTGTGTGTAAAAATAATACAGCCGCTTCTAGATTAAGCATTTTTTCTTGCTGGAAAATTGTTTTCCTCTGTTGAACATGTATACAGGCTAATCATGAATGTATCATACTTCGGGTTACTCCTGTATTCGACCAGTCTTTCCGGTAACAAATACCTGAACTTCTTCCTATTGGCTCTGAGTGAGATCTATTATTAAATGTACTAATTTAAATGTTTCTTTACTTTTGCAGTTCAGCTCGCGGACATTCTCAAATGCATTGTCATTTCTTTAATTGTGTGTAAAAATAATACAGCCGCTTCTAGATTAAGCATTTTTTATTGCTGGAAAATTGTTTTCCTCTGTTGAACATGTATACAGGCTAATCATGAATGTATCATACTTCGGGTTGCTCCTGTATTCGACCAGTCTTTCCGGTAACAAATACCTGAACTTCTTCCTATTGGCTGTGAGTGAAGCACCGGCCTACTCCATCGACTTCTTCATCCTCAGAAGGTATTCTTTAGACCTGTGTTCCCGTCAGGAAACGGTGCTAAATAATCCACAGCTGATATTTTGGTCCTAGCTCCGAAAACACTATGCAGTCATCTCGTATTTCAATTTTCCTTGAAAGCCTTGGACCTATAGATATTGCTTTTTTGGACAAAGATTTGCTCTTATAGAGGAAGAACCAGACTCTCAAATCGGTACTTGGTGACGTCTTTCTTGCGCAATTCAGTTTACAGTGCGCAAAGAAGCTTTGCCACTGAAGTGACGCTCACAATGTCCTTTGCCGGCTTTCTGCAGAAGCTGACCTTCCTTCCTGCATGGTTTAGGTTCATGCACCCACACTTACATAGGCATAGAAGTGGGGTACTTCCTTTGTTCTCGTGTACTAAAATTTTGCAATGTCGCACAGTCATGTAAAAATGCTCTTATTCCTGGGCTGAAATTCGGACTTAATAGCCCTTTTCTAAAACTCTTCCATTTGCGACGGATCAACCCACTTTGGAAATTCCTAGTTTTTGAGTAAAATCCGTATTTCAAATTCGTGAAAAACTTGTAGGTACCAAAATGGTACCCAGCAAGTCGGTGGGCATTCCTTGAGGGGTACCTCCCATTGTTCCGGTACCCCATAAGGCGGTGTTTGTACACGCACCAATACATACACTTACACAAATGCATTCAGGAACTTCTCACTCTTAGAAGAAAAAAACTAACAAGTTAAATCGCGCACCTAAAAAAAATTATTTTAAACTGCTGTGTTTTTGTGGCTGAGTGCAAAATCAATAGAATGCTTGCAAACAGCAGCCATCTTTGAAGTGCTTTGTTATTTGAATGCATCTATATAATAACACGCAAGTCTCTGTTTGGATGTTTGTCCTGGCTTATTCTAGGAAGTGGCAGGTCGCACGGCGCTCAAACTCGGTGGGTGGGTGAGGCTAGGTCCAACTTAGATTTTTTTCGACGTTTGTTAAAGCGATTGCGACCCCGGGACTCTCCCCGGGGGGTCCTTTCTCTTACGTACGCATAGCGACCGAACACTGAAACCAACAGGTCAATTGACTCCAACATTCATACTATGAGGGATTGGGGAAGTGGAGGTGCCATAGGATAATATGAATACGATCACACAATTCAAGATTTGTATTTTACAAATCGATCAGATTTTGGAAGTGATCCAGTTCTCGGTCCGGATCTCGGTCTGTTGCGCTTTCCGGCGCAACAGGGACTTATACATCCAGCAACTCTATACGACCGACGAACCTCCAAAGCCGGGTAACCGTCTAGTTAACAATGAATGAACAAGAGTGTGTATCCCCCAACATGGCCTCAGTGCAAACGATATATAACGTTTTTGTAATATCTACAGAGGCGACCTCTGTCCATGGTGTTGAGCAATAGGCTATGCTCCCACTACCTGTTCAGTGTTTGTTTTAGTGTTCGGTCTCTGGGATAAAAACAAAACCTATATGTCGCGGCGTGAGATCAGAGAATACGATTTTCTTCAAAATTGAAATATTACAATCTATATGCAGCCAATACGCAGTATCACATTGCATATTATTATAAGCAAAATAGAGAAGGTTTTATATATAGTCGTGTTCCCTAACGTGGCGCACTTCGAAGCTTACCCAACTTTCCTCGTGTAGTGTTGCGAAACCTCTTTGTTGACAAACCTCAAATTCATGCAGTAAAATACTGGTACTTTGACCTAATTAATGCATGCTATTTAACCTCTGTGAACTATTTCGGTTTCATAAAATATAATCCGAAATTCAAAAACGGTGGCGTCCGGAAATTGGGCACAAATTCGCGGAGTGTTCCCTAACGTGGCGCACTTAAATAAATCTCGGAAAATTCCAAATTAACATTTAAGAATTTCTGTTTACTTGATAAATTCTGAAAAATCATTATTATATCTCTACTTACATACCCAGCCAGATGTTTGTCAGAAAATTATTTTCTTATTTTTCGGGGCATTTTCAAAGTGTTCACTTTGCACTTGAAAATAAAATCGGAAAATCACGCCAAAATAATGTTTTTCTTCTAACTTTGTAACGCGTGAATACAATCACGATTTATGAACGGGAGTGTTTAGAACTTGATGAAATGTCACTTTCTGTGAAATTTCAGTTAAAACTTTTGCTCTAGCTATGCGCTACAGGCGAAAAATCAAAGTGCGCAACGTTGGGGGGCCGCGCGCCACGTTAGGGTACATCAACAATATATATATATATTTTTTGGAGTGGACGTAATATTTCACATTGAGCGTTAAAATACGTAATACACGTTGGAAATAATACGATACACGGATATATATCTATCACTTGTTATTGCTGTATCGAATCAGGATACAGGAGGCAAGTTTCCCAACCCGGGGTTACTACTGGAAACAAGGTTGATTATGAAAAGGGATATTAAGGGAAAACGGAACGCTATTTTCTTGCTTGGAGCAAAATGTCCGGAAAAGTGTTTTCATTCCGTAAAATAAACAGATCCTTAACATGAGTTTGGACATGTGTACACGGTTGTGGGTGAAATAACCTTATGTACTTAGATGTACTATATTATGTGTAGGTGTTTTTGCCGATGTGGTTGATTGTAATCACGCTAATTAGCATAAATACTATTTGCATTTACGAAAAGTCCGTAAAATTACGCCGAAAATACGGAATATTTCACTTTACGGAGCCGTGCTTTTAACAGTGCACTGGTTGGTACATACATACGGTTTCGAACTCTTTTATGTGTGTTTTTATACCTTCAGATTTGGTAGGAGGAGGCCTCTAATCATGTTCTTCTTCACTGGGGCAGTGGCTTGTTTGCTGGTTGCTTTCCTGCCCGTGAAACCAGGTGGCTCAATTTGTATACCCTTTATTTTTTTTATTTCCCGTAACGCTTATTATTTTAGTTCTGATATAGTAAGAACAACCAATGTTTTTTCAAACGTGAAAAAAAATTTAAAAAATAAAAATGAAATGAAAAAAGACGTCTTTGTATGAGCATGCGCAGTTCGCATACCGAACTGATTCAAAACAAATGTTCTACTTTACAGTACTTGCCCTCACCTTTAAGGAAAATTGTGGGTTTGAGAATTTTATAAAACAAATTATTTTTGTGTTGTTTTGTTTCAGGAAACGGAATAGATCTAACAATATTGATCGTTGCGTTGGTAATGATCGGTAAATTCTTTTCCAACGCGACCTTTGACGTGACGCTGTTGGTTGGTGCGGAAATATTCCCTACGATGTTACGGTAAGGCCAAAAAAAATAATAAGTCGGTCTCTGGTCAGCGCGCGCGTCGATTTTAATCATGCGCGTCAAGCTTTTTTTTTTCGAAAATGGTCCACGGTAGCTCCAACAGCGCCCTCTATTGCCGCACCTCCTCAATTTTTTTTTACCAAAGAGCACCAAGGAATGGGAAATTGCACCACGGCAAATGATCGAGAGCACCAAAGCAAATTGTGAAGGACACCAATGTACATGAGGACACCAAAAAAGCAAAATAGTACCCCACCTTGTCTGTACAATCCAAGCTTGAAGAAAAAAAAAAGCAAAAAAAAAAAGCCGCGTCGCCGCGTCAATTCCGGAACTTTGGTCTGACCAGAGACCGAATTTTTCTTTGTTTGGCCTAAAGCTGCATTTTTAAAAACTCGTTTTATCCCGTTAAAACAGTTCACACACATCCCTCAGGCCAAATAAAAAAGTATCCGGTTTCTGGTATGCGCGCGCGTCGCCGTAGCCATGCGCGCCGACAAAATGAAAAAGTTTTTTTTTTCAATGAAAGATGATGTCTCAAAACCGCCAAACTCACTGGTTTGACTGGAATCCTGCTGCTGCACAATTTTTACGTGTTTTTAGATTGGGTTATGGTCGAAAATAAGCTTTATGTGGCCTCTCTGGACTCCCATATATTTGCACTAAGTTTAGTCGGGCACCATTTGCAGTCATCAGCCGACATTTGAAGCAAAAAAATCAGGTAAAAAAAAAAAAAGCCACGTCGCCGCACCACTTTTTGGGCACGCTCCATACCAGAAACCGGAGACTTTTTTTTTTGGCCTAAGTGGATTGTTTTTGTTTTGCTGAAAGAAAATTTACCTTTTTCTGTGATCTGTGGAAAGAACTTCAAAACGGTGTTTGTGTTTAAAACACCGTAACTTGAAAAGTGCATGAGTGATTTGAATGATTTATGTACTAAAAAAAGTTTATGAACTTGGCTATCATATCCTAGATTATAAACGTTTTACAGGCTGAACCTCAGTAATAAACGTGGTCCCGACATTTGGGTTTCGTTTTTTTTTACTCACCTTGTACACTTAAAGGAAATATACAACATTTGCAAACATCGAAAAACAAAACTACCAAATATCTACGAAATACCTTACTAGGATGTTGGTAAATAAAATTCTAAAGATTCCTGTAAAATTATGGCACCTGGTGTGAAGTCACTTTCAAGAAAAGTGATATTTTGAACAAATTTCCAACGGTGGTCGGCCCGTTGGAAAAACCTAACTATTTTTCAACTACTGCTCCAAATTTAGCATCTTTTTTTCAGTCTAAGTTTTGTTTGCTATTGGTTAAATGTTCATGAACGGGTGCAGGCCAGCTAGACTGGTTCCCTTACCTTACGGTTATCCAGCATCGATAAATTGATCAATCTCATCTTTCGTGGAGTCAGGGAACCAGGCTACTTGAACATTTTAGTTTTGCTTGGTTTTTCCAGCATTTTCGAACACAAAACCTAAACCATGACAGTGTAACAATATTTGATCTATTATACTAACCACACGAATAGTTCATTTCTGAAAATTACAGCAAAAGCCAATGATATGCATTCCCTTTAATGCGTTTTTTATAAGATGCGAAAAGAAGCTTGAACCAAATTGAATCATATTGCTGAGAATCCTGTCAAAGAAGATGTGACATTAAATCAAAGTGAAGTGGTGAAATGCCCTGCAGTATAGCGAAGAGATAACAACAGTTTTGTTTTCTGGCTTTCTTTATAGAAACATTGCAACGGGCAGCGCGTCTACAGTAGGGCGGGTCGGTGCCATCGTGGCACCATTCATTGTGAATCTGGTAAGTAGCCAACCTCTGAAATCAGGCACTTCTACGAGTTAGATGCATCATCATTTGCATTTATTTGAAAAGTAGCCTACCGAATCATTATCAAAAAGCTTAATAGGATTATAGATCGCACTGGTGATAAACACCCTGTGAAACTATTCCTTCTGGCTTGTTGTCATTTAGGACAAAGCAAAAAAAATGTGGTCCCACTTATATGTGATTTCCAATGATCGGTCAATTGATTAATTTTTCGAAATAAATAAATGCTATCGACGAAATTGCGTTCCGTGATCAAAGGCTTATGCATTCTTTTCCCCTGTTTTCTCGAAATTAAAGTGTAATATCCACTGAGCTGAAACTGCAACAGGTTAGGTTTTGAACATTAATATCTTTTTTTGAGTGGCGTTATTGCTGGAAACTATGACACAATGCATGAAATCCAAATGATCCTATATGCGTTTAGGCCAAAAGAAAAGTCTCCAGTCTCTGGTCTGCGCGCGCATCGCCGTGAGCCATGCGCGTCTGCAAAATTATTATTATTTTTTTCAATTTAGGCCTAAGTTGATGTCTCAAAACCGCCAATCTCACTGGTTTGACTGAAATCCTGCTGCTGCACAATTTTAACATGTTTATGGATGGGGTTACGATTGAGTGTAAGCTTTATGTGGCCTCTCTGGGCTCCCACATATTTTGCACTAACTTTAGTCGGGCACCATTTGCAGACAGTGTTGTAGTTTTGTGAGAGTGCGTCTGGAAGCCAGACTGAGGAAGCGACGGTCGTGTATCTGGAACCTGTAAACGCTTTTTAATTAGCGCAAAATGTAAGGGAGCAGACTAATGACCAGCCTGGAAGCACATGCACAATTTCGTTGTCACCGTATGGAGTGACGTTACCGTTTTTCTGATTTTTGTCTTGACTATCCAAATTTCCCGAAGAATGTTCGCGTCGGTCGAGATCGTAAGTGGGTGCAAAATTCTCAAGCCTTATGGCCTTACTGAAGTCACCTCAAGCTCCACCCTGAAGGATATTTTTGAGAGTTTTAAGGGGATCGAAGTGTCATCTACAAAAAAGAAAAGCCGCGTCGCTGCACCACTTTTGGGGCAAGCTCCATACCAGAAACCGAAGTTTTGTTTATTTGGCCTTGGGTTGTTGCCAGTGGCTTGTAACTGAAATACATAAACGAAAAATGATGCCCAAAACAACAATGCAATGTTCGCCTTTGCGAGTCAATTATAATACTTTTTGCTACACCGACTTGTTCACAAAATAACACATTTTAGTAAACTTGGATCACACAACAAATTAGGGGACAGTTTCCGCATGAACACGTAATTAAAAGACATGGAGTATCGTGTTATAGTGGACTAGAATTCTCGATACACTGGCTGTTGCTTGTATCACGTGATATGGTAGCAGTGGAAAGTCAGTTTTGTTTGGTATTAATATTTGAATGTATTTTGAGTGAAAGAAAGGGGATATAGACATTATTTCATAGTATCTCTCAGATGGTTCATTGTCACCACTGGTAACCAGTGTCATTCCTAACTTTTCTGTTTTACAGCAAGAAGTCAGGAGCTTTCTTCCCATGCTCGTGATTGGTTGTATGTCGCTGGTAGCCTGCAGCCTTGTGTTCATGCTGCCAGAGACCAAGAACAAACCACTCCCGGAGACATATGAAGATGCCAGCAAGTTATTAAAGGACTGAGGTCAATGCACCATGAAATTAAGGTTCGAGAATTACAAATGCTAACACGTAATAACATAATGAGGCAGAGTTTTTGCTAAATTGGGAGCCGTGCTTTGTCTTTTAGTTGTAAAGTTGAAGATGGTATTTGCCTGAATGATTATCAAGTTGTACAGAAAACAAATAGTATGCGCAAACTTATAGTCGTAAGTGCTTGTACGAATATAGCTGAAATTGATAATTGCGTTATAAGCACATCTTTTTTAAGGAAAAGTAAGTAATCTAAGATTCCTGTAAATATACCCCTCCGCCCTCCGGAGACATTTTTTTTCGTCATACGTTATACCTTAACGAGGCAAGGTAGATGATAATGAGACATTTCAATGTCTCCGAGCTAATGTCACAAATGCTATTAAGGGGCAATATTTTAATGTTGGAAATAGGATGAGATCGATTGCTCGTGGTTTAAAACACAAATATACTAAAATTAGTGGGGGTAGAATAAAAAAAAATAGGGGCTAGCAGTCATGACAGCTTGAACATTTTTGTGCACTACCCTATGGGAATGTCAACCTAAGGTACCATACTCGGTAATAATGAGACTTACAAAGGTATTCATACCTTTTTATACTGAATTTTTTTTTTCTTTTAAGCTTGACTGAATAACAAACGCCATTAATATTCATTTATCCATATTCACAATATTACACTACTTTACCATTCGGATAAGTAGTTTTGGTTCGTTGGTTTAAATAAAAGTTTTTTTCTGGCCAGTTTCCGAATTGTTTTGATCATTTTCATTTTATATCAGCCTTTCAATTTCGCGTGATGTTTACGCATCTGATCAAACTGGGGTTTCTGTTTCATTATTTGGGCATTCAATTTAAATTTCTAGGCACCCAAGATTTTGCTTTTCACGTTCGTTTTTGTTTTGGGGCATTCTATTCGTTTAGGTGCATTCAATTTGTATTTGTAGCATTCTTAAATTCTCAAACGTTTTTGACAACTTTTGACGATTGACACATTCAAATTAGCGAACGTCAGTGCGCATATGACGTATGACCATGCTTTTTTTTTTTAATTTTGTCTATAGGCAATCATTTTCATCGTTTGGTCATTCAAATTAATAACATTTATGAATTGATGTCTTTTTTTATTTTCCTACGTGGTTATTTTTTTCACAATCTTTGTGACTGTAAAATGGGTAATGTAACAAATAACTTATATGAGGGATATAGATGATGTAACAAAATAATGAAACGAGGAGGGCTAAGGATTTTGTTGTTCATCTTGATCTTTTCTACTTGATTACAAGTTTGAACAAATCTTTTTATATGCTACTTTATGATGACATGTTAATTAATCTTTTAACTTTCTTACTGTTCTTTTTCGTTATGTTTTTGTAAGATAATTTTATTCACCGCTGATTCACCCATCGGTCTCTTGACACGCAAGACATGGGGATACAATATTTGGTAATGGTTGTACTATCGGAAACACCTCTTTTGAGTAATTTCTCCAATGTTTTCAAGGGCCACTTCCATCAGACGATCCCATGTCCACTCCTGTAGGTTCATTCCTGCCTCTGTCTGCCCGAACACTTAGTTAAGAAAGAGAGGTGTGCATCTTCGGATTGAAGACGCAAGGTATGATAAACCCTGAGATAATTCAGAATTGTATAGGAATGCGGTCATGCAGGTATTCTTAAAAGATGCTTCACAAACTGTGAAATATGTTTGCCCATTAATGTCTGATCAACCCCTTACTGTTAGTTGGTGCAGTTGAAATTAATGAACAATACTATACTTTTAATTTGAGTGAAACGAAAAGACGAAAAGCTCGGATAGTAAAATTGAAAGACTTTTGTTTATTGTCGACTGCCGATCTGCGTGATCTTTCAATTTCATTCTAAACTGAATGAGCCAGGCATTAAAATGAATGAAAACTTAGTGAAATTGACCAGGAAAACCTATACATGTATTTTAAGTGTTTATAGGAAATCAGATATTATGACAAAAGACAAAACGTATTTTAAATAAGAATTGCATGAACAGGGAAATAAGTATATGCACAGGGAAAGGATTCTTAATCATTTCATTGCAAACGTTTGTGTTTGAGGTGTGTTGCCTACAGTATGTCTTGTTATTCAAATTATTTATTTAAATATCATAAAAAATGATATTTTTTTTGTAAAGTTATACGTGAGGTATACATATTTATTTGAAACATCTCCATGCTTTATGGTTTTTGGGGGCTTACGCTGCACGAACTTAATGACTTTCTCTATTCCAACTTTACACTGGAAATTATGTCTGTAATTCAGTGATTGATTAAATTAAAAAGAAAACGGGACCTCAACTATTTCAATTTATTTATTAACAAGAAAGGCACTTAAAAAAGGGCTCTCTTCACAAATATTTGGGGGATAAACACTTGTGAAGAAAGGGCACTTCAGTGAAAAAGGGCAGTCTTTACAAAATATTGCCCCTCCCCCCGCTGGCTACGCCTCTGTAATGCCGACGGCCGTTCACTTATGGATGGCAAGCAGTACTGGGCACCGTTCAAATACAAGATGGTGATGCTCATTGAGGTATAGGTTTTACCGACATTGTAGTTAAACGATTTTCCCATGAAGAGCAACGTACGTTTTAGCAGACGAGCATAAAAGACCCGGGCCGGAATCCAGGAGGTATACTGAGTTAAGAACGTGAAAACTTGTTAATAAAAAATGTACACGTCCCGGGAGTCAGGTTGGTGTAGTGGTACCATCCTATAGCCTTTCACCGCTGTGACCAGGGTTCGATTCCTACCTGGGCCAAAATATGGATTGGGTTTTCAGCCCCAAGTAGTACTTGATTCCGTTGGTTTTCCCAGGAACGTTCTTCTGGGGTTTTCTTCTTCTGGGGTTTTCCTCCAACATCTAAAACTGTAATTTATTCACAATGTCTTCGCTTACTGGGCCCCATGGGAGACCATTGGATTCCACTGTAGGCTACATAATTATAATGATAATTAAATAATTCAACATGGTAAATTGAAAAACAAATACGTTCGTCCAAACTGTTTAGCTTTTCATCGGTATTAAATGTGATAAAGATTTTCGGTTGCCTTATATTACACAATATACATGTAGATCTCAATGAAGTAATTTCTTCCACACGAAATATCTGCAAATTGTGGTGCTACCAGCACAGTTTTTGTCCCAAAAGTTTTCAAGGAACGTGTACATGTATAAATAGTCATCATAGGCACTGAGGTGGAACTAACTCCCTTTTCGCAAACTTCTGCATGTGTAAAATGAATCTCACACCGACGCATTCAACGCACTAGAACAGACTGCAGCTTCATGATCGCGCACGTCTCTGGCTAGCTCTGAAACCACGGTTCGGTTGCGTTTGTGTTATGGTGAATATCAGAGAAAAAAAGGAGAGGTGGAACACCCGCCCACTCACTTGACATATATACGTTGTTAATTAACTTTTGAATTTCATGCCGTAAACAAATAAAAACGTGCTTTGTATTAAAAAAGGTCAAGCGTTTACGCGTTTGTAGAAACTGATTTTGTAACAAGTCATTAGAAAGAACATCGAGCCTTGACGGACAGTTTGAGAGTACAAAATGAGACTTAAAGATATTCCTAGATGCCTTAAAATGTTCATTACCAGGTGCGTCCTTTTTTACTTTGTTAATTAAATGTCATGCCGTTGGGATTATATTAACTTTTTCAAATTGGCTGATGACACTGAATGTAGGGCTCGGCTGTGGTTGCTTTCTACGAATGTCAAAAAACAAATAAACACAATCGGGTCACCTGAAAGATAATTGTAGACTTTATACCAAGCTTTTGTTGCTTTCTTCCAAAGGTCGATCAACATACCAGACGAGATATTTTCAAAGTGTGTTTTGTATAAACGCAGTAGGCCTACGTGTTGATTCGAGGGCTTATAGCCTGCCTAAGTCTCCGATTTACGTTAATTTCATATGTAATTTTAAATGACCTTCCGTGCCTAGAGATTTGACCTTCAGGGTAAGAGGTCAACAGCCCTGTCAACGCCAAATCTCACTTTGGTTTTGTTGTAACCTGGTACTTCACAAACAGGTGTGTATATGTGAGTGATTTTTTCAGGACTACAATACACAGCGTAGAATTGAGGTCAGTGTCATTGCCATTTCTGAACATGATCATTGTGCAGAAAGGAGGACCATCAGTATTTTGCAATATGAGTCTGTCTATCCAGGCTCCTTAAGCCACAGTATCAATTTTGTAATTTTTTTCCGAAGTTTCAGAATGGATGTGGACGCCAGCCTGAGAGTTGTTGGCTTAGTGGGTCGCGTGCAAATCGCCAACTTTGTGATCTTTGGGATGGGCCTTTCTTTATCGGCCATACAGCTTACAGGCATCGCTTTTACCGTCGACCAGTCTGTAGCGCATCACTGTAAGCCAGCGCCGGGATCTTTGGCAAATGAAACTATGGTTTACGTCGAAAAAGATGGTCGCGAAGTACCGGACGGCTGTTACATGTACGATGTCGACAACGGAACATTTCCTGAGGACACAACGATTTGCAAGTACGGCTGGGAATATGCTCCAGAATATGGAGAAAAGAGTGCAACGACGGATGTAAGTAAACCTTTTTTTCTGGTGGTAGAAGACGAGGGGGGGGGGTGCCAAAAAGGAATTATCAACACTGCGTAAGAATCTGGGCGGTATTATAATGCTTAGGTCGCTTAGAAAAAAATCTTCACTAATTGATTATGATGACAAAATCAACGTATCCTGTCCTTAATACTATAATCAGTCATTGGCAATATGTCGAGAAACCTTAATATGGGACTGAGAAAATGTTCGTAAGTTCCCGTACTTGAACTCTGTACATAAGGGCGTCTGAATACTGTTTTCTTTGACATACGTAGGGTGTATCAATAGGAAGTACACTTAGAAATGTCCCAACATTTTGGAATATGGTTACATACACTGGTAGAAAACATTTGAGGCTTTAAATTGACACCTTTAAATTGAACAAGGTTGATCACCTTGTTCAAAACGGTTTGCGCTCAAAATGGGAGGGAAATTGTAGAAATGGCTTCACTGATCAATAAATCCATATTATTTTGCTGTACATTAGGCCTACTGATCATACTTTTAATTAGTCACTACATGAATATACTGACAGCCATCTTGGCGGCTTTGCGGGCGATATCTAGATTTCCCCAAATATACACGTAGTGGTCGGTCCTGCTGTATTAATCAGGGGGGGGGGGGGGGGGGAGGGGAAGGATTCGTCCACCAGTTAAGGAGACCCATGGGAGGCTCACTGAAGACGACAAGCATTGGACGCGGGGAGACTTCTCCTTGATTTGTTGATTCTCCTTGATAACGGTGACATCCAGTGAGATATGAGGGGAAGCTTACAATGACAAGTTAGCAATAACTGACAAAACCAAAAACCTACAAAGAAACAGAAACAAATATTTTGAGTTCTCTGCCCAATATTTCAAAGGATTGTGCAATTTGTGAAACTTGAAACTTCTCATGTTGGTTCTTTTTGCCATGAAGAAACTGGTCGGATAGAGAGGTATTTAATATTTAACCTCTGGTGACCTTTGAGAGGTCAATGAACTTTACACACTCTCTTCATAACTTTTGTCCTCAAAACTTTACTTTCCAATGACACAAGTCGATGTCATAGGTCTTCATACAGTGAAAATAATGATCGGATGTAGGAACAATTCATATCTGACCTTTGGTGACATTGAAAGGTCAATGACCTTGTAAACCTGTTTATAGCTATTTGTAAGATGTATTCTTTAAGCCCCATCTTTTTTTCACACGATTCATGTCTAAATGAATAGTGTGCATGCTATAAAGAGAATTTCATATATAGGCCATTTCATATTCAACTTTTGGTGACCTTACGAGAGGTCATGACTTTTGTAAAACCATAGTCTACCTTTGGATACTAATAAGATACACACAATTGTAATTGTATATCTTAGTTGCCGCTATTGATTGTATCTATTCGTCAATACGCCACTTTTTCGTGACCCAAGCCTTAATAGTGCCAAAGAACGGTATTGCACCTATTTGTTTACCGTCATGTTATGAATTCAGATCTCACAAACAAACAATTTTGAGGCTACCTCTGACCTCGTTTCTCCTTGTATTATTGGCAGACGCAATATGAGATTGGAATAGAAATATGAGGGTCTGTTTTGTAATGGAAAATGTACATAGGCCTATGTACTTATTACACCCTGTTGTATCCAGATGGACTTGGATAACCACGTTTTAAACCTTTTTTACCATGCCCAATTGTCATTGTTGGAGAGTGATGCTTGTCCGATGTGCCTCTTAATTATATTCTGTTGCGCCTGCGTCTGCCTTTATGAAAAGGAAAATTGATATCAGAGGTCATGCAAAAAACCTTTCTTTGGGGTCTGTTAAAATGTGAGATACACACAATTGGTCAATTGTGATTGATACACAAAATAAGAAGGAGACTGGATTAAACTTAGAGCTATAGCTTGGATGCCGACGTGACGACGACAGAGAGATGCGTTCGTGTTACGGTGTTGCTGGGCATCGATTCCGTCTACAAAAAAATGCGCGTGCAGTGAACCAAATGACTATTAGTCCAGGCAATATAAGGTTTGACCTCAAACAAATTGCAACAGAATTTTTTTCACCACAGTGCATTTCTATAAGGTCCCTTAAATGACATACTAAAAGTCCAAAAAAATCCAAGTGGTGGAAATATGCCTAATTTGCATAAATCCAAAATTGCCGCATATTTTAGGACTTTCACAATGATTTGGTCATATTTCTCATACTATTAGCTTCTTGAGGAACTTTAAACAACAATTTTAGTCCTTTTACATTGATTTCATCATTATTCTAGTCCTAGGTAAATTTCAAGATCCCTATGTTTCCCAAATTTGCCAAATGCTGTATAATAATTTGCATAAATGCCGTATACTAATTTGCATAAATTAAAGTTAAAATTATGGCTGTCATGTGTTGAGACCACAATTGAATTTTCCCTAATAACTTCTTGTTCGGTTACATGTATGTATACATAAATATCACACCACAGAGCATCTCTATATGGTCCCGAAAAAAAAGTACAAAAAAATCCAAGTGGTGGAAATATGCTTAATTTGCATAAATTCAAAATAGCCTCTAATTATATGATTTTCATATTGATTTGACCATAACTCTCGTCCTACATTGCTTTCTGGGGTACTTTAAACAACAATTTGTCCTTTTACATTGATTTCATCATTATTCTAGTTCTGGGTACCCTTCTAGATCCCTATCTTTCCCAACTTTGCCAAATGCCGTATAATAATTTGCATAAATGCCGTATTAATTTGCAAATAAATTAAAATTAAAATTATGGCTGTCATGTGTGGACATTCCACAATTGAATTTCCCTAATAACTTCTAGTTCAGTTATGTATCACACCACAGAGCATCTTTATATGGTCCCGAAAAAAAGTTTAAAAAAATCCAAGTGGTGGAAATATGCCTAATTTGCATAAATTCAAAATGGCCACTAATTATATGATTTTCATACTGATTTGGCCATAAGTCTCGTCCTACATTACTTTTCGGGGTACTTTAAACAACAATTTGTCCTTTTACGTTGATTTCATCATTATTCTATTCATGGGTACCTTTCGACCCTATGTTTCCAAACTTTGCCAAATGCCGTTTAATAATTTGCATAAATGCCTTATATTAATTTGCATAAATTCAAACAAAGTAAAGTAAAGTTGAAGTTACAGCACAATTGGGACCCATGTTGGGACTTAGGCCATTGAAAATGGGTTGCGGGGGTAACTATTCATCAGGTTTTGCACTTTCATTGAGTCTGATTTAAGAGGCGCAAGATACATATTGAGTAATCTTCATTGAAGAACAGAATGACAAAGTTAAATACTAATTCTTAACAACTAAAAAGGAACAAGTGGCAAGTCAATTAAATAAAAACACAATCATAGTTAAAGTCGCAATTATTTAAGTGATTCTCGCTAAATCACTTAACAATATCAGTTTCGAATATGCAACTCAAAATACAAAATACGGAATAGTAAATGAAATGAAAGCGTAGCTTAACTTCTAAACATATATGATTACTGTGAAGGGAGAAAACAATTGTACTTTTCCTGATAATCCAAGTTCAGTTATGAATACAGAAATATTACAAAGATTCATATTGGCGGCCTATCATCCATATTGGCTAGCATGCAATGTTAGTCTGATTGTTATCATCTACACGTACATCATTGTATCTTAGAATGAACACTTAGGCCAAAAAAAAATCTCCGGTTTCTGGTATGGAGCTTGCCCCAAAAGTGGTGCGGCGACGCGGCTTTTTTTTTTTCACCTGTTTTTTTTTTTTTTTTTTTGGCTTCAAATGTCGGCTGATGACTGCAAATGGTGCCCGACTAAACTTAGTGCAAATATATGGGAGTCCAGAGAGGCCACATAAAGCTTATTCTCGATCATAACCCCATCTAAAAACACGTTAAAATTGTGCAGCAGCAGAATTCCAGTCAAACCAGTGAGTTTGGCGGTTTTGAGACATCATCTTTTATTGAAAAAAAAAATTTTCATTTTGCCGACGCGCATGGCTACGGCGACGCGCGCGCATACCAGAAACCGGAGACTTTTTTTTGGCCTTATGTGGCAGACTATAATCTTCAGCAGCCTTAGGATCAATGTCTGGTGGTGGCGAGTTGGCACAACTAGTGCCACGGTTTTCAGTGCAAGCAGTTGAACAAGAGAGACCATTTTTCTGTGCGACTTCATCTGTGCCTGCATGGAAGAGGGTTTTTTCTCAATTCTTTTCTTTCAGAATTCTAAACATTGCACGACATGTGCCTCCTGCCTAGTTTAAGTCATATTTGCTATTAATTTAATACACATTTAACAAAATGGGCGTCTGCAGGGGTGTCACTGGGGGTGGGGTGGGCAAATGTCCCCCGCCCACCCAAAAACAAAATGATCAATAGAGAATATGCTAGAGAGAATACACGGATTTTGGGGGATAATTAATTGGCTTTGCCCCCGCTACAAAAATCCTAGGTGGGCCAAACGAGTGGCAAATTAAGTGCTTTGCCCAAGGGCACACGCACCACAACCCCAGGGCGAAATAACAAGAATTATTTTATTTCATACACTTCTCTTTTTTTCGCCATAACTGATTGCAATGGTACCTCACCAGTTTAGTTTCAACAGAACGTACAATGTAGCCACGAACCATTCTTTCGTTTGCTCAGAGCAACCATTTTATTGCGGCCTGCAAAAACAAGAAAGCCATAATAAAAAACATGTATTTTTAGATGATAAGCATATGGTACATAAACTCCAGGGACTCAGAGGCTCTGTCAAATTCCAAATTGAAGTCTACCGACACGGCTTATGTTTTTGAGTAGTCATAATTTGAACCAAAAAAAGTGGATCACGTCTCCCATATTAGGCAGTTTTTTTCTGCTTCTCATACTTTAACTGGATGGCTGGCTTTAAAAAAAAATTGTCTTCACAAATTAATATTCATGAGTAGAAACGAGGATGAACAAAAGACAAATGGACTATAATTGCAGCCTCTCATTTCCAACAAGCCTCCTTCTACAGTATCAGATTTAGAGGGGGCGGTTGCAATTCCCTCTGCCGTTCAGCAGCTGCCTAATTTTATAAACTATTAAAATGGGACCAAAAAATAACAGAGCAAACTTCTATTATGGCCTGCAAAAAAAAGCCACAAAATACTTTCTTTTTTTTCTTTTTTTTGAAAATAAGCATAGTTTATTGCTTATGCAGAAAATTATGTTTCGTACAGTCTAGCCACGAACCGTTCTTTCGATAATTCAGAAATGTTTTTTATTACGTCTGTGCAAAGACAAAACAGCCATAATTTTGTGTATTTCTAGATGACAGGCATGTGTTACATTAACTCCAAGGACTTTAGAGGATCCGTCAATATCCAAATTGAAGTTTGACGTTTTTATTTTCGGGTAGCCATGTGCAGCACCAGAAATGCGCTTCAAAAGTTAGATTATGTCTTTCCATATTATTTGCCGAGGCAGCAACCAACTTCCAATTGAGCAAGCAGTGATCAAATTCCTTTTTTGTGCCGCAGTGTGGTTAGGGTTTGTGACTCATGATCAGAGGTTCAGGAGTTCGAATTCAGATGCTGGTCATATGTTGTGGCCTAGGGCAGGCTTCATCCAAACTTGCCTTTCTCCAACCAGGAGTATAAATGGGTGCCGGCATTAGCTGTGGAGTAACCTGCGATGGACTAGCATCCCATCCAGGGGGAATAGAAATATTCTCTGAAACCGGAGATAAATGCCGGCGCTGCCCATGGTCCAATGGGCCACACTTGCCCCTGACAGACTTTACTATTTAATTACTACATTTTATCATTAAAAAAGTGGTGGGTAAATGCCCCCATGCATGTCCACCCTCGAAAAAGGATAAATTGAGAATATGCTGGCAAAATTACAGGTATTTGTATGTTGTTGTTGGGGTTTTTTTTTGGGGGGGGGGGCGAAAGGTACATTACCCCCTCTAGAAAAAAATCCTGGCGACGCCCATGGCATTCGACGTGGCAGTCCCTGGCAGGTAGGTGTGTGTGTGTGTTCCATAATTATGTGAATAATAATCTACAGTCTTTATTCCCGAACAACAAAGTTTACCGTACAGAGGAGCCAGTTGATTGGCCAAGATCCATTGATCACGCCCCTTCGTTTTAGCGAGGAATGTGATTTGCCAGGACGACCGTCATGACGAGCTGTCACGAACCGTCATGACTAACCGTCCAAAAAGAAAGAACGCTTCTTACACCCACATCTGATGACCTCAAGTAGTGATGGTGGTGCTGGCGGTTTGTCCGTTTGTATGGGAAGATTATTATACGGCATTTGGCAAATTTGGAAAACATAGGGACCTAGAAAGGTACCCAGGACTAGCATAATGATGAAATCAATGTAAAAGGAAAAATTGTTGTTTAAAGTACCCCAAAAAGCAATGTAGGACGAGAGTTATGGCAAAATCAATATGAAAATCATGGTTTATAAATTAAACTTTTGAATTTATGCAAATTAGGCATATTTCCACCACTTGGATTTTTGGACCTTTTTTAGGGGCCTTATAGAAATGCACTGTGGTGTGATATTTATGTATTAAATAACTGAACTTGGATTATCAGGAAAATTCAATTTTGACATGTCCACACATGACAGTCATAATTTTAACTTTAATTTATGCAAATTAATATATTGCATTTATGCAAATTATTATACGGCATATGGCAAATTTGGGAAACATGGGGATCTTGAAAGTTACGTAGGACTAGAATAATTATGAAATCAATGTAAACGGACTACAATTGTCGTTTTAAGTATCTGAAAAAGCTATCGATTATAAGAAATATGCCCAAATCAATGTGAAAGTCCTAGAATTGTCGGCCATTTTGGATTTATGCAAATTAGGCATATTTCCACCACTTGGAGTTTTTTGGACTTTTAGTATGTCATTTAAGGGACCTTATAGAAATGCACTGTGGTGAAAAAAATTCTGTTGCAATTTGTTTGAGGTTCACTCAAAAAATGAAGTATTTTGCCTGGACTATATAGATCAATAGGTTGCAGCCATTCTTACCCGTGCACGAGAATAGCTGGAAAGTATGACACGGTCATCGGGGAGACAGCTGACTATGCCTTTAAGCGACGTTCCTAGAAGCAAATAGACCTTACCGAGTTGGTTGTTCGCATGTAGTTTTAAACGAAGCGATAATCATGCAATTTGTGAACTACTGAAACAAATTTTATGTTAATTGACGGAAAATCAAAATCCTATGTCAGTTGGTATTACCAGGGCTATGTGAATATACAGCGATTGGAAACTCTTCTGTACGTCAACATAAGCTGCTGTATATTTTTACAAGTCAACAATGCAAGACAACATTTTATATTTACATTTAATTACATTATTAAAAATGAAAATTAATGTTAGCATTCATCGCACAGTTAAGTTGTGCAACCACAAAAGGTCGGTAACAGAGTTTTTGCTGTGATTCAATGCGTTCTCTTAAAAAAATGATAATACTACTATTGTTCACCAATGTAGGGCAATGTCATCTTTAACAGAGTGTACCCTTGTTTTCATTCTCCTCCTAGTTTGACCTTGTCTGCGACCGTGGCTATCTGGCTAATCTACTGATGTCATGTCACTTTGCTGGTTTCCTTGTCGGTGGTTTTATCACTGGCCAAGCTGCGGACATGTTCGGTCGACGCGTGGTCAGCATGGCTACCTTGCTTCTGATGAGTGTGCTGGGCACAGCCATCAGCTTCACGTGGAACTTGAAGCTCCTGATGGCCCTGAGATTCATCTTGGGTGTGGTAATACCGGTAAGGATCCGTAAGTGAAGATCTGGGTCCAATTTCATAAAGCTACTGAACGGTAAGCAAAAAAGCTGTGCTAACAATAGCAGAGACTTGTGCTTACAATACATCGTGGTGTCGCTGTGCTGAGCAGTGGCGTGAATCCGTGTATTGCAAACTTACGCGCTTGTACTTAAAAAGTTACATAAAACGGGCTACATTCAAACTTTTTGTATTGTTAGTTCTGCGTTTCTTCAGAACTATTGAAACATTTTGGACCATTGGAAAGTAACAAGATTACCTCGAAATACTCATTTTTGATTTCTCAGCAAAAACATCAGGGACGGGAGAGGAGGGGGGGGGGGGATGATTGCAAGGCTCGTCTCCCCCGCCAGAATTACGTCCATGATGCTTACGGTTGCACACGCATGGACATTCCTATTGTAATGTCACTAATTTAAGCAACCTTTTCCTCTGAGGTAGGCGTGCCCTTTGTTTGCTTACGATCTCCACAAAATAGACGGAGGTTCTGTTAGCAGAACAATTGTGCGCTATGAAATTGGTTAGACCTCATCATGTATGTTAGGATAGTTAACGCCCTAAAAGCTTCTTGAATTTTATTGGTTGCTAGTGCTCTGACGATGCAACTTTCGTTGTTATTGAGTGGTCGGGCACAACCCGACCACTATTTACAATCGTACTTTTTTTCCCGGACAATACTTCTCCGCGGGTTTTCTCCTAAACGGTCTATGCTATGAGCTTGTAACTTTCAACATATCGACCCTCATCCCAAGTGGTGTATATCGGTAGTCAAATTACAAGCGATTAAAGATTTCTAAATTTAATCTTTGAAAATCATTGTAAATTCAACCGTGAGAGACCTGAACTTGGCTTTTGCGGGGATTGACAGAATAATTCAGGATCTTTATGTTAGTTCCTGTGAGCCAAATCACGTGACATTTCCTTCCAGGTCCAAACCGGAAGTGCCTTATAAGAAAAAATCGGAACTAGAGGTCAAGGCGGTTTTTTTTTTTACTTTCGGTCTGATGCAGAGTTGTAACGAGTTCGAGTCGAGTCGAGTCATTTCAAAGAAGTGACTCGAGTCGAGTCGAGTCATTTTAAAGAAGTGACTCGAGTCGAGTCGAGTCATTTTAAAGAAGTGACTCGAATCGGGTCGAGTCATTAGGTCAAGAATGTCGAGTCGAATCGAGTCAAATATTTAGCTCAGTCAATTCAAGTCACTAATATTTGAACACTATTTACCAAAATTTATAAAAGGAGGGCATAAATTTAGCCTGCGTTTGATTCCAAGATCTTTATAAGAAATCGCCCAAAGCTAATGCTGAAACAACGAATTGGAAAATTTGTTTAAAATCCAGTTCCTAGATAGTATTTTGTGCGTTCCAGAACCATCAGGTGGGGTCTGTGACACGTAATATGTTTGTAAATGAACATTAAATTTGCACATTAAGTCATTGCAAATACTTTTCGCAAAATGTTGCTTTTATTTTTGGGACTCGTTAGCCTTCGCTCGAGTCGGACTCGAGTCGAGTCATAACAACTCTGGTCTGATGACGTCATAATTTTGAAACCTTGCAAAGTTATATGTAGTTGATAAAATATAACAAGGGGCGATTTGGTTTAATTTGGACGGATGGTTTTTAAATTAAAAAAGGAAACCCTATTTGATGTACCGCTAGAGGGTGTCCTTTCAAATGATGACGTCATAATGCTGTTTTTGTGTCCTTTAGTCCGTTCTAAACACTTACATATTTTATTTGCTACTAGTAAAGAGCTTCCGCTGTCGATTTACATTCAATTTTATTGCACTTCCAAGTGACGGTTGAGCGGTTGTGTACGCGGAAATCAGATTTGTTGCCCGAGGCATCATTTACAATTGCAACCTCACGCAAAAACGAACATGATACTTTATTTAGTTCAAAACATATAGTCGAAACTATTTTCACAAATTTGGCCCTTAAATTGCTTGTAATTTGATACTTGATGACGTCATGATAACGTCAGATTTTTAAAAACATCTTCTGATTGAGGTTCAAGTTCATACCAGGTTTTATTATAATCCCATAAATCGTTTGGAAGAAATTTTGTTCGTTTTGATTTTGAGGCTTCTGTCTGTATTTTAAATTCACCTAACTTGGACCTTCCGGTTGACCCGAAAGTAATGGTCAAGCGAGTTCACGTACACAACAGAAAATGTTTACCAATGAATGGTCTGTCTGATTACAACGTATGAACATGATTGATTATTTTATTCGAGAGTTACAAGTGAAAGACGATGGTCATTTTTTTCAACGAAAATTGCTTGTAATTTGACACCCGAGTTCAAGTTCATACCATAATTATACCGTTAAGGAGAAAACTCGAGGAGAAATATTGTCCGGAAGAAAAAAAAGAAAGAAAGAAAGAAAGATTTATGAGAACAATTCCAGACAGTGGTTGGGTTGTACCCGACCACTCAAGAAGATGTGAACTTGCTTTCAACGATGTTAGTCATTGGCTAGGCTGTACTTCACAAAAACAAAATAAATGGTGACGTGATAACATGCCAGAGTGCCATCTAGCGGCACGTTGACGAATGCCCAAAAATGAATTTTCAGTCGATGTGTGAGGCGAAGTTTGCGGTAATCGCTTCAAAATTAATTTATATGATCGACTTTATGCAGACAAAACCTGTGCGCAAAAAAAATGATGACGTCATCAGACCGGAAGTTAATTTATTTATTTATTTTTTTATTTATTTTATTTCTTTCTGGTTATGAAACCAAGGATCCCTCAAAAGTGCCCTAGGAACTGTAGCCCGAAAGCCTGAAGAAACCTGTAGAGAGAAATCAATGAGAAGAAATTAGAGTTTTAGATGTGGGAGGAAAAGCCCAGAGGAATATTCTAAGGAAATCCCACGGAATCAGGTACGGGACTGAAAACCCAATCCACATATTGACCCGGATGGGATTCGAACACGGGTCACAGTGGTGGAAGGCGAGGAAAGTACCACTACGCCAGCCTATAAAAATTCCTGAAAATCAACCCTGACAGATATAATCTTGATTTTTGCTTTAAATGTCAATGTGAAAGTAGGTCTCAAACTTCACTGTGTCCCTTTGCAGTAAGCGAATTTGGACATGCCCAGCGGCACCATTGAAGTATAAGGCTCAACAGGCCCCTAGCCTTTAAATTTCCGAGCATATTGCTCGTTCGGGGATTTCCCCCGACTAATAGTTTATGCTCGCCAAAACTGAGAGGGCGGTACATACCTTTAACGGGTGCGCAATGTATCATTAAGTGTTTACTCGTGTTTTGTACACATTTGTTTGACAACTTATTAACGGAAGCACATTTTTGAGTTTAAATGACGTAAAAAATGAGACTCAAACGTTGGGCCTGCAAAAACGCCCAATTGGGAGAATTTTAAAAATTGGGCGATTTTTTTTCTAAAAGCATGCGGATTGGGGTAAATAGGGGATGGCTAGCAATACTTGGAATTGCGTCACTGGTGTGCGACCTTTACTTTTAGAGATATGAGGTATTCAATTTTTGTTACGATTGTACTTGATGAGTGTACAATACAGTAACATAGGCGTGAATATTATGTTGAAACCACGTGAATAATCTTTGAAAATCATTATAAAATCAACTGCGAGAGATCTGATTTTGCTTTTTAAGGTTAATTGTACAATATTCCAAGGTCTTCATTTTTTTTTATATTACGTTCAAAATCAAGTGACCCTTCCTTCCGGTCCACACCGGAAGTGCCTTGTAATTTGAATTTGGAAAAAAAATGTGAACTTACTTTCGACGATGTTAGTATTGACTAGGTTGTACTTTAGAAAATAAATGCCGGTGACATCACAAACTATTATAGGGCCCTGTAGTGGCAGGTTGAAAATGTTTTAAATGATTTTCAGTTGATCATTGAGGCAAAGTTTATGATATATGAAATAGATGCCAACCCGACCAATCTTCGTTTGTAACTCAACAGACGCAAACCTCTAGTCGTGATTGGCATGCTTCTCCAGTACTTTTGGTTCATATTGACCTCTACGTCAGAGTTCTAAAGCCCGCGAATTTTATTTTCCGTAGTCCAAGGAAGCAATAGAGTAATGAGGTGTGAGACTGTGATGCCAGCTGTCTTTGCTCTGAGTCACGCGCTGGTTCACGTGCTGATGTATTCATACACTTAAGTTTATATGCGCGTGAACCAGAACACGCGGCACACTTTGGTACTGTATATCATTAATAATTCAGTAGTTTCGATGGGAAATTGTGTTTATTTATAAGAAAGGATCAATGAAGTCAACAGTAGTCAACTAGTTACAATAAGTCATTGTAAAGATTGGCTGTCGTCAAGCTGTCATAGTTTGGCAGATAAGGGAAATATTTGGGGAATTGGTGCCTTTGATGATACAGGCATGGCATTTTGCACAGAGTCAGAGTATGTCTTACGAAAGATATTTGGCTATAGGGCCATCGCAGATTTGTCCTTTGAAAAAATATAGGTAGAATAACAAGCAATTTTAAAGATTGGCTGCCATTGCTTCTTATTCTGTTAAGTTTTTTTTAAAAGGACAATTATCTTTCTCATGGCATACCCTGACTGTGTGCCAAAATGTCATGCTTGTATCATCAAAGGCATAATCCCACTCCCCATCTGCCGTACTATCAGATGAGCTACAGATCGAAAGATTCCTGATTCTAATCTACCGATGCACATTTGTCATCGGCTACTTTTCTTTTCCAAATTTATTATTGGCATGATTTTAACTTGAAGGAAAAAGAGCCAGAGAACCTAAGTGGCTTGCAATATTTTCATCGAGAGTCATTCTCAGGCTCTCATTCGAATGAGAGACATTTAGGCTGTGGTTTAACCGTTTAAAAGCACTTCTGAGCGGCAGATCTGTAATACACCAACGCGCAGGTTTGTAACTCATAGTGGAATCCGGTGACGCTCATTTTGGTATTCCTTTCGATCGAAGGAGTGTGGAGTGCGTGTGTATTCCCTGAGCGGTAGTCTTGCGCCATCGCAGAAAATGGCTGCCGCCAGATTTGTCTATATCGTGGGTGGGGGTCAAAATTTATATTTTTGGCGGGGCCCAGGGTTCATAGAAATAATGAAATTCTATTTACGCGCGAGTTAAGACGATTGTAGTCTACCATGTGCGCATGTGTAGACCTCAGGCTCATTTGCGAATACAGTTACCTGTAAAAAGGAAAACGGCTAGCCAGTGTCCTAAATTCTTCATTCCTTTTCTCCAAATCTCAAATGGCACAGGGAAATTCTTTGGTTGGTTACATCCGAGCGGTAGAGATGTTCACACCCAAGAAGAGATTACTGGGTCACGTCTTCATCCAGCATTTCTGGAGCTTTGGTGTCATTCTCGTCGCACCTTTGGCGTACTTGTTCCCCAACTGGCGTTACTTCCAACTTTTCACCTCATTGATATGCCTACCAGTCCATGTCATTATGTGGTAACAGTTTGCCTCCTTTCTCCTTTTTTTTTCTCCTTTCCTTACCTCTGTCGACATGAAAATTATTACGTCCATATTAGGGTCTACATTATGGTCAACCTTCGGGCTTATTTTTTTTTGATGTTGAATTTGACATGCCGTTTTGTCATCCTTTTTTATTCATCTGGAAAGCTTACGTGGACCCTGTGTTCTAATTCTGCCTTAAATAAACATCTGAATGATGGAAGAACCAAGAGCGCATTCACTTTGAACAAATTTCACCAACTGTTGTCCAGTTTCAACAAATCGTGACTGTAACTATCTTTTGTATCTCATTGCAACACCCATCCTTCATTTCGTGCTATGCCGGTGTATTTAATAAATGCATGGAACAATTATTTTAGCGGTGAAAGGGCTGTTGTCAGAAAATTGAAGCCCGTTTTTCATTGCAAAATTGGGTACCAATGACAGCTCTCCTGATAATTTCATATTCAAATGCACGTCATGTAAATAAAAGTAAAATTTATCTTCGGGTTAAGAACAAGAATCTCTTAAAGAAATTAAATCTGAAGATCGGACTCAATACAGCTCACGTAACAAGTTCTCTTTACACCATTACTACAGGTTCTTCACGTACGAGTCATTACGCTGGTTGGTTCAGAAAGGCTGGTTTGAAAAGGCAGATGCAATTCTCCGGAAAATCGCCAAATCGAAGAACATCAAGCACAACGGAAGCTTCCTCATACAGCGGGAACTGGAAGCTGTGCGCCTGGTGGGGAAGATGGAGTTGTCCGAGAAATCAAACCACGATCGAGCGAGTGACCTCCAGCACGAGAGTGTCACTGCGGACGTGGAAGAAAACAATCAAGAACCGATGAACAAAGAGAAGATGGAATCCTTTACCCAGCCAGATGAAAACGGGCAGACGCAATCGAAGAAGAAAAAGAAATACACCGTGCTCGACCTCTTCAAGACAAAAGTTCTCATCAAACACACCTGCATCGTTTTCTGTCTGTGGTACGAACGTCTATTTACAATCTTAAAGTACCATTTAATTGGTATTTTGTTCATTAAAAAATAATAGGAAATTTCAAATGAATGTAGACATAAACGCATTCAACTTCCTCATACCAGGTATTTTTAAGAACGAAGTAAGTGCTACTGAACTTCTGTAGCTCCAGCTCGCAACATATTTAACTGCAGTATGTTATTGTATAGTAATTTAAAAAACAATATTGTTTTAACAAATTAAATTAAATTAACTATATACACGTTAAAGCCGCAGCAGTGGGAAATATTAATTGTTTTTGCCCCATTTTAGGTATGTCATGAATACAACTTATAATGGCTTCATCGTGTATGCGACCAGTCTGGCAGGCAACAAATACCTGAACTTCTTCCTATTGGCTCTCGCAGAGACACCAGCCTACTCTACTGACTTTTTCATCGTTAGAAGGTACAAACTCAACAAGGGTGACGTTTTTTTGGGTAGAAAAAAAACGACGTTTTACATACTTTGCACCCTTCCCCAACGAAGGTCCATGCCCCACATTTTCAATCACAAATATATATGCGTTGCCCTTAGTGACCCCCCTTGAAAAATTGGTGCACCCCTGGGCCGCCCCCCCCCCCCCCCCCCCCCCACAGCAGCCTAACACTAGTTAGGCATTTCGTACTTGTTCCACACAAAAGGGGATGACTGTTTAAGGCCAAATGTCATGGTTTGATCGTATTCTCCCTCCCCGTGGGGCGTGCCTGTTGTGTTAAAAAAAAATGGGGGGGGGGGAGGGATGCCGGCGGGAATTCGGAGGTGTAATATCAAGCGGTCTTAATTCCAAAGTTAATAAGCCAACGAATATCGATCATCAGTATTTCGTAATGTACAAACGTTAATACCTTGAGGTACATTTTACTTCAAACTTTCAGATTCGGTAGGAAAAGACCTCTTATCGTGTTCTTCTTTACCGGCGCAGTGGCCTGTCTGCTGATTGCTTTTCTACCCTCTAAAACAGGTACTTTTGAAAAATAATGGTTTTCCTCACCAACAAAATGGCTCTCTATATTCGCTGTCCTCACAAAACAGTCATTGTTCTCTGGACTCGATCTCTCCGCCTTTAATCCGAACCTTTTTTAAAAACACATAATAAAAGGAAACATTACATGCTTTTTGGGTTCTTTTGGTTTTTTTTGTTTCAGCCAATGGAACAGATTTTACAGTAATTATCGTGATAGTGGCTATGATCGGTAAATTCTATGCCAACGCGACCTATGAGGTGACAATGCTGATGGGTGCAGAGATCTTCCCCACAATGCTACGGTAAAACCACTTTACAAAAAAAGAAAAGATATAACATGACAGCACTGAGTGTATACATTGCCAATAAAATGACATTGTGAAGGGCGAAAACTTCAAAAATCTCAAACCCACAATCTGAGGGCAGGTTTTTGTTCCTCTGTGATACGCTTGACTGGAAGGATTGCACCTGATTTGAAATGACAACACCTGAGTTGGGGTGCACCTTGCAAGATGTCTATAATAACAGTGTTACTAATATGATGATACATGTATTTTATACGGACAAAATGGCAATACATTATTTTTGTTTGAAGCAACACTTCCACGTATTTCAGGCTCAACTGCTTCGATTCTTTTTTTCCCAAGTACTTTTGGTTTGCAAGGATCCCTGGGAGTAAACTTGAATACAATATACAGTCAAGAGAAATTATTAACGAAACTAATCTGAACATCACTACATTGTACTTAATAAATATAAAATACAATTTAATGCTATATGATGGCTCTTTTTACAGAAACATTGCAACAGGCAGCGCGTCTACGGTTGGAGGGATCAGTGGCATCATCGCACCATTCATTGTGTATCTAGTGAGTATCTCTATACCACTCAAACGGAGCACTTTTCACGATTTCAGTTCAGTGCAAGTACAACGGAAATGTATCAATAAAAAACACAATGGTAAACTAGACTTATGTTTGTGGACAACCACAGGGCTGTTTCGGTAACTTTTTTTGACATATATGTGACGTAAAGTTTCAAGTGTAAGTTCCAACCAGGAAGGATGTGTAGTTCTGTTTATAATAAATGTGGCATATAAAAATGTGATTACAATCTCATGATTCAAATCAGGGATTTGAATTATGACGTCACGTGTCACCCGATGACGTCATGATGACGTCATATCAATTTTCATCTATAATCATAGCCGCTAGAGGGCGCTCTAACATTATGACGTCACCGTTACTTTTTTTGTAAAGAACAACCTAGCCAGAGCATACATCGTTGAAAGCAAGTTCATATTTTAAATTACAAGGCACTTCCGGTTTCAACGGGAAGAAAGGGTCACGTGATTTTGCACGTAATATAAAAAATGACGACCCTGGATTATTCTATCAATTCCCGCAAACGTCAAGTTCAGGTCTATCACGGTTGATTTTATATTGATTTTCAAAAATTACGTCCATTAATCTTTAACGTGACGTCACATGACCCATGATGACGTCATCGTGACGGCATTTCAATTTTCATCTATAACACATCCCGATCTAGGTACATACCAGGTTTCAACCAAATCGGACCTGTAGTTCTGGAGATAAAGGCCTTCAAAATATACTCCTATATTGTGACGTCATGTGACTCGTGATGACGTCATGGTGACGTCATTGTTCGGCACACAGCGGTAGGTGCTGGTCTAACTTAGACCAAGTGTTTGCCAAGTATGAAGGCAACCGGATTGATTTTAGTGGCCAAAGTGCCGGGGACCAAAAAACGTGTACAAATGCTATTGGCCGAAATGAATGGGGGAAAAATCTTAACGAAAACAAAGGCTGTTTCGGCCGGTTGCCAAAATACAGGGCGCCAAATGTGGCTGTTGTACAGTTCCCTTCAACGATGTGATGGCAAAACTGAATTTTAGTCTAGAGGAAATCAATTTGAATGTGTACTTTGCATAACAGAATCTTTACAGAATCGGGTTACTGGAAACTACTTTGCAAATGGTAACCATCATTCCTACCTTTTCTGTTACGCAGCAAGAAGTCAGAAGCTTTCTTCCCATGCTCGTGATTGGTTGTATGTCGCTGGTAGCCTGCAGCCTTGTGTTCATGCTGCCAGAGACCAAGAACAAACCGCTCCCGGAGACATATGAAGACGCCAGCAAGTTATCAAAGGACTGAGGTCATATGAAAATACCGCAATGAAATACATGCAATTCAAATTATCGCTTGTTTTATTGCCAGAAATCCCCGTCATTTTTAAAAAGATGGAGATCTTACGATTGAGGCGATACTGTAACAAATTTAGCAAATTATTTGATGTTATAATGTAATTGAGTCACGACGTTCAACGTTGGTACATTATGTACAGGATATCACCAGTGCGAAAAGAACTGCAACATTTTAACTTTAAAAAGTGCCATAAAGTGTACTCACAAACGACAAATAAAAAGTAAAACTTTGATAATTGCGTGAAAACAACAGCATCATTATTTAAACGATTTCAAACAAGGACTTATTCCTCACGATAATAAAAATCATTTGAACCTGTTAAAAAATATCAAAATGTCTTCATCAGACATTTAGGAATGGCATTTGTTCAGGGATGCCGACAGCTTTGTCATTTAGAAAAATTCAAATAATCTTCAGTGCGCCCTCAAGTTGAATTGTGCTCAAATTTCACATTAGAAAGATACCACACTATATTATGGAGTTTTGATTCACGCTTAAAAAGGGGCTTTACGGGAATGACAACTTAACTGTATTTATGGCTTACAGCAGTCCAAGTTGATGTATTATCTTTCATTTTTCTTATACTAGTGTTTTTGAGTGTTTACTAATAATAATGGTGTTTATCACTAGAATTGTAATCATTGTTTGAAATCTTCTGTTGTATAGGGAGGCTTTGGTTCATACATGCACAATTATAAACATAAAACTGTATGCAGCGAGTTATTTAATAAAGATGATTGTTTTATCATTTACTGGAAACGCGTCTTGTAGAAAACGTCACGGACTTTTTTTTACGGCACGTAATTTTCATTAAAAAACCCCCAGTCTTTTATTGGTTACAAAATGCATGTTTATTGGGTGGAAATAAAAATAATTACTCTGTTCTTCTTTAATGTAATGTAAAATGTGCCTTTTTAATATATTTATTGGGGGCGGAGGGGGGGGGGGGCGGGGTTGACTTTCTTTTGGGGGAAGCAGCCCATATCCCCCAACCCCCATAGAACTGCGCCTGCGCCATATATACTGTTCATACCAAATCAAATCTTTCACTTGTAGCGTAATCAGATATTCTAATAGATTGCGCCATCTGGCCTGCTTCAACATATATATGCGGGTTAGTATTAACATTCAACTTCCAAAAGAGTTTTCAACCGGAGGATCGTTGAACAGGGGGCCATAAAAGTACACAGAGTGGCAATCTGTCCGTTGTGTGCGAATCATTGAGATGTACATGTCTATATCAGCGTCTGATCGGCCATAAGTGCAGCGCCATGCCGTGGTGTCTATGCGTCATGCTTGTTCGTCCATTATTTGTGTTGTTACTTTAAATGCCTACATTTCAGGGAATAATGATTGTCTGTTATGTGCGAATCATTGAGATGTACACGTCTATATCAGCGTCTGATCGGCCATAAGTTTAGCGCCATGCCGTGGTGTCTAGGCGTCATGCTTGCTGGTCCATTATTTTTGTTATTACTTTAAATGCCTACATTTCAGGGGATAATGATTGTCCGTTTTGTGCGAATCAATGAGATGTACACGCCTATATTAGCGTCTGATCGGCCATACGTCCAGCGCCATGCCGTGGTGGCTAGGCGTCATGCCTGTTGGTCCAGTACTCCAGTTGCCTATCTGAATGCCGGACTGGCGCCACTTTGAACTTGTGGCCACACTGCCGTGTGTTATCCTGATACCACTTGTGTGGTGAGTGCTGTTTCTAGTATGGCTCATTTGCCCGATACTTGACCGATCTTATACAATTACTCAATGCTTCAGCTTCCCACAGACACCAACTCCGCTCATCTTCTGATCGCACCCGGCTTTCTCTCCCAAGATCCAACAAGAGAGCCGGGGATATCTCTTTCAAGGTTGCAGCGCCACGTTTTTGGAACGGGCTTCCTGTTGATCTGAGAGAGGCGGAGTCGGTGTCAACTTTCAAACGTTCTTTAAAGACCTTCCTTTTCCCAGATCTCTCTTAATGCCTGTGTCCCACCCCCCTTGAATATTGTTTTTGTTGTTGTTCTATTGACCCGACCCCTCTGTGTTTTTCCCCCTTTTGTTAGGCGCTGTGATCTGTAGAGCGCGTTATAAATATTCTGTATTATTATTATTATTATTATTATTATTATTATTATGGATACAAGTTAAAGTGACGTCACGATGACGTCATCACGTGACATGTGACATCATATTAGGCCTAATTGTGCATATTTTGAATGCCAATATCTACGAACTGTATTGATCCTGATCACTCTACCGCACATGTTGTCCTACCAGCCTTACGTGAAATAAAAATACAATAAATACAACAAAGCCCTACGAGAATGTAATCACATATTTATTTGCCACCATTTAATATGTACTACACGTCCCTCCTGGATGGAACTTATATACTTAAAACTATGTCATATATATGTCACAAAAAAAGTTACCGAAACAGCCCTGTGTTTGTCCACAAACATAAGTCTAGTTTTACTTTATTTTTGAGTCGGGCACAACCCGACCACTGTCTGGATTTGTTCTCATAAATCTTCGTTCTTTCTTTCTTTGAGTGGTCGGGTTGTGCCCGACCACTCTTTGGAGTTGTTACGATTTATCTTCGTTTCTTTCTTTCTGGACAATACGTCTCCGCTGGTTTTTTCCTAAACGGTTTATGATATGAACTTCATGATAACGCCATCAGGTGTCAAAATACAAGTGATTTTATCTGAAATTAGTGACCAATTACTTTTACCTATAACTCTTGAACTCAATAACCAATGATGGTTGTATTCTGTAATCAGATAGACCATTAATTGCTTAACATTTTTGTCGTGGAAGTAAAGTCGCTTGACTTTTACTTCCGAGTCTACCGGAAGGTCAAAGTTAGGTGAATTCAAAATGAAGACGTTAGCCTGAAATCAAAACAAAGCACAATTTCTTCTGAAGGGTTTTGCGGTATGATCACAAAACCTTGTGTGAACTTGTACCGTGTTACAAAGATGTTATAAATTTTGTTACGTCATCATGACGTCATCAGATAAAAAATTACAAGCAATTTTAGGGCAAATTTTGAAAATATAGTTTGCGTTATATCTTTTGAACTAAAATAGAGTATCGTGTTCGTTTTTTTCGTGAGGTTGTAGACTATGCCGTGACAAACATTTCGTGTTCCCGGACACAAAACCGCTTGACCTTTACTTCCGGTGTTACCGGAAGTGCAATACAAACTGAATATAACTCAAAACGAAAGCATTTTACTACAGACATATATATTAATAAAGTGTTTTTAGTGAGGTATGCCAGACACAAAAACAGTGTGATGACGCCATCATCCGAGAGGCCCCCTAGCGGCACATAAAATAGTGTTTGCTTTCTTTAATTTTAAAACCATTGGTTCAAATTTTACCAAATCGCCCCTTAATATTCTTTAATTAACCACAGATAACTTGGCAAGGTTTCATATTCTAACGTCATCAGACCGGAAGTATCTATGACACTATAAACATCTTCATCCCTTAAATATTCGTTAAAGATCCATTTTCCCTTGAAATTACAGTCAACTAAATTTTCACGGATTTTTTTTAACATATTAAGCCAGATTAGGAGTCCGTGAAAACACCCATAAGAAAGTCATTATGGAAGTGTTAAGTGAGGAATGCCAATTTTAAAAACATAAGTTTGACGTCATCCCACGGAAGGGAGCCCTCTAGCGGCACATCAAAACAGTTTAATATTTCAAAATGTTAAAACCCTCAATCCAAATTTTATGAAATTTCCCCAATATATCCCGTAAGGAAACAACAAATGAATTTGCAAGGTTTCATAAGTTTCAATTGCTTCCAAATACTTTGACGTCATCATACCGGAAGTTTGGTGTTATTATTACATACACTTAATTTCCATATTTCCATGCGTTCTTTTTACTTAATGATAAACAAGTGTCCTCCCTTCCCTTTCTTGACACGATGACGTCATCAAACCGAAAATAACTTGTACATGTACCTAAATGTTAACTGAAATTTATCATACCCTAAAAGATTCTTTTTGTACAACATTATTGGTACTGGAGATGTTAAAGTCCTTTTTCTGACATGAATATATTCATAACTTAACTGTACAAGGTCTAATGAAATAGTTGTCTACCCGACCACTCTGCGTTTGTAACAACAAACGCAAACCTCTAGTGGTTGTTATAATTAGAGAAAAAATTATGAATTGGCACCTAAAGTTTCTCGTTGTAGGATAGGAGCAAAAGCTTGGTCCGCCTTCCATTGAATGGTGACCTACAATTTGTTTCCTACTTTGTTTATTAATATTTTTCTCGCTGTTTTGATGAAATTGTGATATGAAGATGAATGAAGAAAAATATGCCATTTAACACAATAGCAAGACAATGGCAACAGTTATTGAAAGAGAATACAAATCGTTGGGAAACCAAACAAAAATTGAAATGTCGGAAACAAGGAGTGAAAAAAATAACCCCAATAATTGCATATTCAATATATAACATTAATAAAAAGATTCATTGGCCTCTGTGATTTTAGGTCTTTTTCATTATTTCAGTGACAGCTATTGCTGTTTGAACTTACGAGCAGATGAATTTTGATAATTATGCTGTATGTGTGGATACACATACAACATAATTGAGGATTGGAAGAAGGCAAACTGGTCATGCATAGCAGAGGCTCTGGTGTCTGGCCGCTGCCTGACATGATGCCAAAAGATCTTATTTGAATTTAAACAGCTGACCTGGTTATCATCAATGAGGTGTATTTTTGTGCTTATATTCCAATGATATTTGATTTGGTAATAGAAGGCGCTGTTTGAGGATATTCTGTTTGGCGTTCACAATTTAAATGAGACTCGGGTGGGTCATAAAAAGCACCGTCCGATGATATTCGGTTTGTTGTTCACATACAGATGAGATTTGGGTTGGTCATAGAAAGCCTTATCTGAAGATATTCAGGCGTGTTGCGTTCACATTCCAATGAGATTTGGGTTTGTCAAAGAAAGCTCTGCCTGAAAATATTCGGGTGTAATGTTCACATTCAAATGAGATTTGGGTTGGTCATATAGAAGGTTTCTCCTGTCAGGCGGAACAACTTTGGGAAGTCTCTCACGAGATCATCAAACAGGTTTCTTGGGTTGAGATGAATGTCACCGACCAAATCAGGAAACAGAAGAGTGTGAAGTCTTGGGTTGAGGTGCAGGTAAATCAAGTAAGGCTGAACACAGAAAAGCATGTAACGAACCGCCAAACGCGTTCCTCTGTCAACTACACTTTCAAACAGTGGAGCAGTTATCAACATAAGAAAAAAACGCGATCCAAGTTGAAAGTGATCTGGAACCATGTGTAGACCTCGAACAAGATCATAATATTACATCAAAATGAAAACACATTAACCTTTGTATGAAAAGTAGTTTAATCAATTATCCTTAACTTAATCATTTCTCCTATTTTTGTAAACATTTTTTCATTACTTATTCGGGAAAACTAATTCGTATATTCTTTCCGATGGCCATGCATGTAATAGGGGTTGTCAGCAGCCATGCAACCCTACCTACATTCCTAAATCCCAACCTATATTATGATGCACATCGCTGTGGCCACGAGCTCCATTTATACATGATTGTTGCTGTGCTCACGCCTCTCTCGGACGAGCTCTTTTGAAACATGAATATTTATGATGTTCAACAAAGACACCGGTCACAGTTGGATAGAGCGCATATGTAGAGCTTCTCATTGGGAGATGAGCAGTTTCTACGCTGCTGCCGTTCTACGTTCGTTCAAAACGAAGGAACACTCCGGGTGACATATTTTTTTGGAATGGTTTGTGAGTGGACCGTGGCAGATTAGACTTGGCAGGGTCTGCCGTGCTTACGCTCGGCCGACCCTGAATGGATGGTCCGCTTGGTTAGCCATTGCGGCCAGCCACGGCAGAAAACCATGGGGAGTTGGTACAGAAAATAACGTTAAAATACACAAAAAAGGTAAAACCCGACAGAGTGTTAAAGCTCTTGTGTGATCAGGAGATAATAAAAAGAAAGATAATAAGAAATCTGTGACCTTACACGGTCTAGGTGTAAACCATTCTTGATCTAGAGCTCGATCGATCGAAACACTTCTGAACGAAGAAAGAAACGCGACGATCACAGTATCAGCGTACTTCGCACGGCTGACTTTATATATAAAGAAAGAAGGGCGATGATCACAGTATATCAGCGTGCTTCGCACGGCTGAGTTTAAAGAAAGAAAGGCGACGGTCACAGTATATCAGTGTGCTTCGCACGGCTGACTTATATAAAGAAAAAACGGCAAAGATGTGTGTATATCAGTATGCTTCGCACGGCTGACTTATGTAAAGAAAGAAATGCGACGATCGCAGTAGGCCTATATCAGCGTGCTTCGCACGGCTGATATAAGGACTGAAACAAATTACAGGTGTACAGCCTACAGGAAAATAAAAGACGTCGTAATTTTATCATAAAAGTTCACGTGACAAACATTGAATGAAATGTTCGTAGCACTGGATCTTTTTCATCACGATGTCCGCTCCATTTACGTTAGCAAGCCACTGGAGTTGTCGTCTCGCCTTTAATTCTTGGCCCGTTGTACATTCAAGTTGCATTGTCTTTTTGTGTCACTATTGGGATCCCAAGGGCGGATCCAGAACACCATTTTTGGGGGGCCAAAAAAATTTTGGTCCCCCCAAAAAGTGGGTCAAAAAAATTTTGGATTCTAGATGCTCTGTGGTGCGATCTGAGGCAATTTCTGACCACTTTAACCAATGTTTTTTGAGGAAAAGATGGTGGTGTACTCATTGCCTGACTTTATTGCGATGTCACATAAAAAAAATAAAAAAAAATTGGTTTCGTTTTTTTTGGGGGGGGGGCCAAAGGGGGCCATGGCCCCCCCCCCCCAAAAAAAAACGAAACCAATTTTTTTTTATTTTTTTTGGGGGGGGGGGGCCATGGCCCCCTTTGGCCCCCCCCCCCCTGGATCCGCCCTTGTGGGATCCTGAAGTACGACAGATGATTCTCCCGATCAGCACGATTGCTGCAATTAACTTAACAATAATTCATCATTTTGAACTGTATTTGTGAGTACTAATTAAGTCTGCTTCGTACCATATGTGTGGTGCATTCACTAGCAAAGTACAGATAGTAGAGCACGAGTTTTGTTTGTCCTGCAGCAGTACGTCATGCAGGTCGTCGACTTCGACCTTTTGACCCGTAGTGAAATATCTTACTATTGCCTGGCAATTCCCTCTTTATTGTGGAATTTATTGCCTGGCAGTGGCAGCTAATATTTTGAATTTTGTCAAGAATAATTTAAGTACAACACGTCGTGGGCGGATTTTTTTCGTTCGACGTCTCATTCCAAAGTGATTTACTGAATTATTAATGATGCAATTAGAAAAGAAATAGATCCAGTTTTCGATCGAAGTAAATCGAAAACTGGAAATTTGACTAATTGTTCTTTTCCAACACCCTAACAGATTGGTTGAAATATTGGTAGGATTGGTAGATGCATGTGTGGCCAACTGTGGTTGGTATACCAATCCTATATAGGCCTATTGGTTATTTCAACCAATCTGTTTTAGTGTATATAAGATAAACCCTAAATCAATACACTTATGGACCAGAAATTTCTGGTCACGCTCTTGATTCGGACAAAATATCTGAATCTTACTTACAGGGTGGCAGAGCACATGGTCTTATCAAAGGGGCTATTGTTCTAAGGGGTCATGTTACTGGGGAAGAGGGAAAAGTTAATCAGGGGTACACACTTCTATGAAAGGGTAGGGGACATCTAATAAAAAGGGGTGATTTATTCAGGGGGTCTACTCCTATCCTAAACACTAAAAGCAATACAGTAAAAACTACAAGTTCAATTTGGCCCTGCCACACAGGCGACAAGGACTGCGCGACGGTTGAAACCGACCAGTTTTTTTCTCCTTTTTTGTGGACATCTGAGAACGCAAACATTTCAATAGGTCAGTTTAATGATATGTCGTATAACACGGTAACCCCTGAATATACCCATTTCTGATAATTACAACAACTGCAAATAATATACATTCCCTTAAACTATGGCCTTGAGCTCATGGTATAGGCCTATATGCACGTAAATGACCTTTGCTGAACAAAGCCCGATTTTGTTGGTATAATAAACGCGACCACAGCGATCAGGGCCGGGGAGGCACTAAGGCTAGTACGTGTACCTGCAAAGGCTACACCAAACAGGGCTTCATCATGGGCAGGGTTCAAGCTGGTCGTTCCCACCAGGGTTGGTGCGCAGTTCTCTGTCTGTTTGTCAGCTATGTGTTGTGGCTGTGGCTCATCAAGGGACTTGGAGTGATGTTACCAACACTACAAGAGCAATTTGCGGCCCAAACTTGGCTAGTCGGCTGGATGCTATCGATTATCACTGCATTCATATGTGTTACTGGTAAGGTTTGTAATTATCGCATCTGAGTCACTTTCATATGGAAGTGTAGATAGGACATGGTTAAAAATAAAACTATTTCGTACGTACGAATTACTAAACCGTACGTACAAAATACTAATTCGTACGTACCAAATACTAATTCGTACGTACGAATTACTAAACCGTACGTACCAATTACTAAACCGTACGTACGAATTAATAAATCGCACGTACAAAGTACTCAGTGGCGTAGCCACGGGAGGGGGGGGGGCGTGGGTATGGAAGTGTTATGGAAGTGTAGATAGGACATGGTTAAAAATAAAACTAATTCGTACGTACAAATTACTAAACCGTACGTACGAAATACTCATTCGTACGTACGAATTACTAATCCGTACGTACGAATTACTAATTCGTACTAACACGAAAATTCCTGGCTACGCCACTGGAATTACTAAACCGTACGTACGAATTAATAAACCGTACGTACGAATTAATAATCCGTACGTACGAATTAATAAATCGTACGTACGAATTACTAATTATTTCGTACGTACGATTTAGTAATTCGTACGTACGGTTTAGTAATTCGTACGTACGGTTTAGTAATTCGTACGTACGGTTTAGTAATTCGTACGTACGGTTTAGTAATTCGTACATACGAATTAGTTTTATTTTTAACCATGTCCTATCTACACTTCCATAAAAAAACAGCCCTATGTGTGCCTGAAGTTTCTTGACCATGATTATAAGGCACATTGTGGGCACATCAACCGTGCCACCAAAAAAGGGGACAATCACATGACTTGTTATTTAATGAAAAATGTGCTGGAAATAACTGTTGGTGTGGCATGGCGGTTGTTTTGAATCCAGAAACACTCAAAATCTAAAGGCAGCTAGGTGCTTAACAACTAACCTGATGAAGTTTTAGCTCTGTGAATGTTGTATATCCGGAAATATAAATATGCTAGGTTCTGGATTTCAATTCAAACTTGCCGGATCAGCATCCGGAACACGTTCTCGTTCACCTACGCGATGTCACGCACTAAACCGACGAATAATAGCAACCGCATCATGCGCGTGTTTGTCGTTTCAACGCTTGCGCGCACCTATTCACGGATTCGACCAATTACAAACCAGCTCCGTACGGACATTTCCAAAAATGCGTCACTAGACTCATCTTTGGAAATGACCTTCTTTTATTGTTATCTTCAAAATGACAGAAGGAATTATTTCACAAGGATTTAATTAGTGCCATTAGCAAGCTTGTTAACAATAATTTGGTCATGCAGTCCTTTTTTGATGATCTACTCCATCTTTAAGACATTCATGTATAGATGTACTCTTTACTAACCATCTTCGTGTACTTGATTAGGTCTTTTTGCTAGGCCACTTGAGGTCATATTTGGTACTCGCACGGTGGTGACGGTCGGCGGTTTCATCTTTGGTGTTTCTATGATCATCGCTTCTTTCTCCACTAGTATTGTCATGTTGACATCAATACTAGCACTGACAGCTGGTAAATATTGTATTCATTTCAAGAGATAGTGTATCCAATCCTTATTTACATTACAAGGATTGTTTTCAGTTTAAATTTAGTATCCCCATGATTAAAAAAATTAATGTTTTTTTTTGGTTTCGATTGCCCTTTACGAATGAATTGTTTTTTAGCATTTAAGAGGCAATGATGACTTCATATAATTCCGCGTGTTTCAGCGCTGGGCCGTGCTGGCAGTATATGTTGTGGATATGGACTTTATTAGTTCGACTTGAGTTAAATCTATTTAGTGATTAAAAAGCTGAATTTAAAACTCTTTTCCCATCTCATTAGGACATTCATAACTTCGTTGTGCTAACAAAATAATTGAACTTTACAATTTATTTTTAGGGTATCACACCCAAAACACACTGACCCTCCCTTTAATACTTTGTCAACCAACGTGGAGTAGATTACTCATCGATATCTTACATGTTGTCCACAGGACCTGCTCTAAGTGTCGTCCATATTCTGACAAGGGCGCTACTCGGGCGCTGTTTTACGACAAATTATGGCATGGCGGTAGGAATAGGGACATCAGGAGGCGCAGTAGGCTTGATAACCGTTGGGCCTTTTACCCAACTGTTGCTGGATACGTACGGCTGGAGAGGGGCTTTGCTTATTCTTGGAGGGTTGACCATGCATCTTGGGGTGTGTGGCGCTCTCTTGCGTTCAGCATCGACTGATGAAACAAATGACAGCTATCAGCCGGTGAGCACCGAGCCCAATGAGGAACCAAAAGTCAGCTCAACAAGTGCCGAGGAGACAGGCAACTTGAAACAGTCATCACGGCTTGGTGCCTTCAAAGACGCCCTCGGTGCGCAGATAAAACATTTTGGATTTTCGGTTTGTTTCAAGTTCTCATTTTGGATCACAGCAGTCCCCTTCATATGCAGCCGCTTTGTGAGTGATCAATGGATGATCTATTACGTCTCCCAAGCCGAAGCCAAAGGCTTCTCTCCTTACGACGCTGTGACATTCACCACAGCTGGAGGGGTCGGCAACGTCGTTTTCAGGATTTTGTTCGGTTGTATCGTCGATAAAGGTTGGTTAAAATTGAGACCGGTGATCGCACTGATGATCACACTGAGTTCCTCAGCTATGCTGATAACTCCCTGGATAAACTCTTATTGGTTGATGATGGTCACTGCAGTTTTCTATTGTGGCAGTAGTGGAGCAGGTGCTTCACTGAATGATCTGTACACCAGGGAGCTGCTTGGACCTGATCTCTTGGCATGTGCTTTCGCTTGGATGGAGCTGGTGACGGCCATTTTATGCTTCAGCCTTGGATTCTTTCCAGGTAAGTCATATCATATCTAGTTTCATCTTATGGCTTTGGCGAGATCAGTGTATTGCATGTCAATAATCTCAATGCAATTCTGATGTCTTAGGTTCGTCGACCAATACATGCCATGTAAACATTTACTACACCCCTACATAACCACCGATACAGTGGTTTCATTCACATTTTGACGGTCACCTGTTAAAGGGTTCTCTCAAACATACGTTAAGGGCAGCTACGTTTATTGTGACCGTCAAAACGTTTCTATGTCCAACATAATTGCCTTCCCTCATAACCTGAAAAAGCAATCATTTCCCGATGGAAGTTAAATTTACAGTGAATTGGAAGAGCTTTTCTCTAGGAGAAAAATAAACACAATTTATTATTATTATTAATATTTATTGATATTTTCATAAAATAAATTATTGAAAATATACAGTATGAAAACCGGTAGGTTATTGCACTATACATGTTTGAAGCAATTTCAAATGAGTAAAATTAACATTAAGAAATAACAAGCTGAAAAGCGGCATAAAACTGTCAACACGTATCTGATTAAAAATACTGGAATTATTATGTTGACACTGACGAAGCAAACAAAATGTTGACTGGTTGGAACTACTTTGTTATTTTTGTTGGCAGGTTGGATGTACGACCAGACTGGCAGTTTTGATTGGGCCTTTTTCATCCTGGGATGCATTACAGCTCTATCGTTGATGGCGCTGTTGATGGAATGTTTCCAGGCGAGATGCAAGTCCAAGCAGCCGGCTATAAGTAACCCTAATTAAACTACAAGAATGCTGACGCGTGACATGAAAAAAACCCAACTTGTTATAGAATGGATCATCTACTCTTTCATTGCAATCTGATGATTGTGGACGATAGTCTTAGTTTTAAAAACAATAACATGTCCGTGTATAAAGTGCATGTTATTGCGTTAAATTTGAAATTCTAAGATTAATTTTCAAACTACTTTATTGGAAGAACGATATAAACAGTATTAGTGCTCATTTATATATATTGTTACTTTTTCCTAACAGAATTAACCAATGCTCAGTTTAAGAAAATTAAAAAGCACAAGTAATACAGTACACTATAAAAAAGATATATCCACGCTGTATTTGATTTTATAAAGCAGTTTTGATGTTTCGTTGAATTACAGTTTTCATGCAAATTTTTCTTTTCTTTTATGACAGAATCTGGTTAATTTACACTTTGTTGTAAAATTAGCACAGCAGAGTAACGTGTTTTGTAAATATATGTGGTTTGATGGGAAAAGTGATATGTTATCAAAAGTTTGTTTTATTTTGAAACATCATTTTGATGTAGACCGTTGTAATCTGTGAATTCAAATTCAGCTTGTTATTTGAAATTACGGCAAAGTTGGACGGTTAGGGCCCTGTCACACTGCTGCGTATCATAATTCCTTATGAGTTGCGCATTGACATTTTTTTCATACACAGTCGTACGCACAATACGCACCTCATATGTATCTCTATCGTTTTGTTTAGGTTTTATGTACGCAGATATACGCATGGGAGTCCAAAGAGGCCACATAAAGCTAATACTCGATCGCAACCCCGTCTAAAAACACGTTAAAATTGTGCAGCAGCAGGATTCCAGTCAAACCAGTGAGTTTTGGTGGTTTTGAGACATCATCTTTCATTGGCTACAGCGACGTGCACGCATACCAGAAACCGGAGACTTTTTTTGGCCTAAGCAATTGTTCGTGAAAATCCGTCCATAACGGTTTGAGTGATCATATTTACGGACAAACCAACAAACAAACCAATGCCGATGAAAACATAACTTCCTTGTCTGGAGGTAATAAAATCATCACTTAAATTATTGCAAATCTTAAATCATTGTTTCAGACCTTTGGTCTTGTGAGACATGGGCTGCAACGCCTATCACCCGGAAGTCACGGACTTCATACACCAGCCAACCTCCAGAGGACAATCCTGGATCGGCTTTTTTTATTTTCTTCATAAGGCAGCGCACACATTTGTAAACAATTTTATCGTTAATTATAATTTTTGTTATTACTTTAAATGCCTTCATTTCAGAGAATACTGATTGTCCGTTATGTGCGAATCATTGAGATGTACATGTCTATATTAGCGTCTGATCGGCCATAAGTTCAGCGCCATGCCGTGGTGTCTATGCGTCATGCTTGTTCGTCCATTATTTGTGTTATTACTTTAAATGCCTACATTTCAGGGAATAATGATTGTCTGTTATGTGCGAACATTGAGATGTACACGTCTATATCAGCGTCTGATCGGCCATAAGTTCAGCGCCATTCTGTGGTGTCTAGGCGTCATGCTTGCTGGTCCATTATTTTTGTTATTACTTTAAATGCCTACATTTCAGGGGATAATGATTGTCCGTTGAGATGAACACGACTATATTAGCGTCTGATCGGCCATGCGTCCAGTGCCATGCCGTGGTAGCTAGGCGTCATGCCTGTTTGTCCAGTACTCCAGTTGCCTTTCTGATGCCGGACTGGCGCCACTTTGAACTGTGGCCACACTGCCGTGTGTTATCCTGATACCACTTGTGTGGTGAGTGCTGTTTCTAGTATGGCTTATTTGCCGCGTGCAAATGCGTGCTTCTGTGGGTGCGCGTATGGCTGCGCCACATTCATGTAGCTTTGGTACTTATACTTGAGATCACGGTTCTTGTGTCCTCGTGCAAGACTCTTTACTGTTATTGCCTTGTCCTACCTGGTTCCATGGGCATCGCCAGGATTAACTAGCCAATGAGAGAACAAACTCTGTTCGCATGATTTCATGATATATTGTTTTGCAATTTCCTCTGAAGCCCGATGGCCTTTTGTCCCCATTTTGATGAATTTATCAAATGGTAATAATCCACCCGAGGTTAAAAAATAATACCGAGCGACGTCAGTATTAATTGAGGTTTGTCTTCAGAGCTAACCAGTTGTGTCTTCATTGTCGACAAACACAGGGAGGAAAAATCCGTTTGGTTAATCATTTGTCCCATACTTATATATATTCGAGAAATTGTTGTTTTACAATTCAACCGACCAACCAACCAACCGACCGACCAGCATACCAACCTACGAACAAACCAACTAACGGACTGACTGACCAGCCTGCTGCGATTTTTTCCCGAAGGTGGGAGAAGCGAAATGTATGAATTATTGATGACATGCGAACTTCTTGCCTGCTCAACGTCTGCTGAGACCAGAAATCCTAGTGGGGGACGCCACAAGAATGTGCAATGTAAAACCCCCTGTGGGACATGCTAGTTTCTTTTTTTTTTCAGGGGTCATAAACCGTAATTCTGACCTGCTTGTTTCAGCGTGGAGAAAGGAAAACAGATCATTAAATGAGTTATGAACACTTGTGACTCCCCACACCATATACCAAACTCATGTCCCGAGTTGTCTTTATTTTTACAGCTATACCAATTAAAATGAATGAGTCTCCTTTTAGGTTTGGTTATCGGGAAATGCAACATTTGGTTGCAACAGTGTCAATAGTTGTCTTGTGCGTTTCCTACTACTGTATTTTATTTTGCATTGAAAAGTTCTTGAACGGATAAAAAGTTTAAATAAAGATTCGTTAAAAAATAGCTTAAATAATTTCATTACTTACACACTGTCGTAAAAGTTGGTATCTAAAATGTTCATGCAAACTCCCCTACACAGGTGCAGGAGACTTAAATGTTTGGTCCAAATCGCCAGTTGAAAAATGAAGATTTTGGCGATATTTCATGATTTGCAATCACAATCTACGAGTGTTAACGTACGCCGATGTATGTCGGCCTGAAAGCATTGTGAATAGCACGCGCTATTCGCGCAATGAATGACTTATGAATATTAAGCAGGCCACACTCGAGCGTGAGCTCGACCAATCAGTGGGCGAATGGGTCACAAGGTCACACCGTGTTTGGGTTCCTCGCAACCTCGTCCCCAGGGTGTCGAGCAGTACGCGCCCACCACTACCTGCTCTCTGGTATTGGATCATTTGCATGTGCACAATTTTTGCACACGTATGCAAATGAGGAACAGTCTGGTGCCTGGATATGCGTTACACATTAGCGTTTGTTTTTGTATGCGGTGTCTGGGATAAAAACAGAGTCAATTCGTAGCAGCGCGAGCACGGCGCGAGTTACGAAAACACGATTTTTGAAATCAAACTGTTACGATCAAATCGAGACAACATGCAGTATCATATTTCATATTAATATGAGCAAATTGGAAAGGAAATTAGTATTTTCGAGAAGGCGTGGACGAATGATCGCGAAATCACGTACTGCACGTTGTGAATAATAGCACAAAGTACACGATAAAAATCCATTACTAGCCAATTGCGGTATCCAATCAGGATACAGGATAGGAAGAAAGTTTCCTATCCAGGGTTTACTATTGGAAACGCGGTTGGAAATAAAGTAAGCACTGGGGACGAGGTTGGGTTCCTCGCTCTTTGCTTTACAATGGCGACGATCTTTTTGCGTTGTGAAAATGGAAGTTGTTGGAAACATTAGGTGTACATCGATTTTTTTTTTAAATATTAACGACATCACGTTCACGAGATTTTTTTGTAGATGAAGGTTCACCTTTTCGTTTGATTACCTCAACATTTGGGAGACTTTCGTCGTTCTCGAAAAAAACCTGGAAATTTCATGACCTAATTTTCAGTAGATTTGTCCGTGAAATAATATCGTCAGATTGCATCGAAGTCCTTTTTTTTTGAGAAAAAAAATACCTTGATAGATGTGTGAAATAGGTCTTTAACTACCCAAAACAACTTTGTTTGTTTGGATCAGTTGTGGTTTGCCATGAAAATTGCAAATTTTGGATAACGGTTGATACTCAGACTACATATTATGTTGCTTATGCAGAACATTAATGATTCGTACAGTCTAGCACGAACCATTCTTTCGAAAATTCAGAACATAATTTTATTACGTCTGTGCCATATTAGAGACACACTCTTGGAAAAAATGGTCCGATTAACTTATTCTTTATGATGGGATTTGCGGAATGAATGCCGGCGCTGCACAATGGGCCATATTTGCTCCTGACAGACTTTACTACTTAATTACTACTTTTTATCATCTAAAAAGTGGTGGGTAAATGCCCCCTGCCCACCTTCGAAAAAAATAATTAAATAGAATGTGCTGGCAAAAGTACAGGTCCTTTTTTCGGGGGGGGGGATGTGCTTTGCCCCCTTCTAGAAAAAATCTAGAAAGTTGATTGCCAAGATCCATTGATCACGCCCCTCCGTTTCAGCGAGTCATGTGATTTGCCAGGACGACCGTCATGACGAGCTGTCATGACGAACCGTCATGACTAACCGTCCAAAACGAAAGAACGCTGATGAAACGTAACCATAACTGGAAAGGTTGAAAGAGGTGGGCGGTTGCTCTTGAAACTACGTGCGCTATGGTGGGGTTGGTGGGTGGGGGTGGATGGGGGGGGGGGGGTAACCATTAAAGACAATGAACCTGCTAAATAAAACCTTCAATAACAATGAACTATTTCCTCCGCAACCTTGGAGGTATTTGGTTTTCAAGATAACCCCACCCACCCCACAAAAAGGACGTGAATATTCAAATAATAAACAAAAATCATAGAAATCAAGCAAACAAAATATAAATCAATGCTCTCCGGCTCGTGTGCTCACCCAACAACCCTTGCACCCACACCCACGTGCATTTTGGCAAAAATAGATAAAAAAAAAATGATGCTAGCGTCTTTCTGAAGACTCCATTACTCCATTGGACCAAGTCCACAACATCACCATGATGGCTACAATAGACTCCTACATCACCATCATCATGTAACTGAACATTTTCATACTTTTACCAATAATGACGCACGATAATTTCGGGTATGAGTGGTCCATCATTCGCTTCATATTCACCATGCCGCTCGAATGCCAGTTTGGTATCACTCATCCAAGTCACGGTGAAGTTCCCGCTGGCTTCTGCGAGGTAATCTGTACTTTCGTCTATCTCGAAACTGCTATTAGCATTACCATTCCCATGCATCTTTGGGTCGGCAATCCAAAGTTCGGTACACGGCACGACTTGTGTTTCACACCATATAACTAGCTTCTTACCATGGAAAAACAGAGGTTCCATTGAGTCACGAAAATCTGACAGGAATGTCCCGATCCGCTTTCCATCCAAATCCAGAACTGTAGTGGTCCAAAAGGTGGAAACAACAGCGAGCAGCTCGCCATTGAATGTGCAGTAAGTTGCTTTAGCGTGCTTGTTCACAAACGCTGGATCAATCGGTACATCAAATGTCCTGACACACTTCCCTGATTCTAGGCTCCAAATCTTGACGATGAAATCTTGTGACACGACGATGACGATACCATCTCCAAGATAGATCGAAACCACTGTCCTCATTCCAGAATCCATCTCATGTAACATAGAGCCACTCTCTGCATCCCAAACTCGAATCTTCCGGTCAAAGTAGACTCCAGCTATGACCTTGTCCTTGTAGGCCAGGTCAAGAAGTGTCAGAGTCCTTCCAGCCTTGAGGATACAACGACAGGCTCCATCTGAAGCGTTCCACACTACAATGTCACTGTTCGGCGAACGTGGTTTAATTACACTAACGATTGTCACACCATCAAAGAAGATATGAGACACCGCCAGAGGATGCCCCGACATGACCTGTAGCTGCTCTCCACTCTTGGCGGAATAGGTACGAACCTTACCGTCCTTGCATCCTGCAGCAATGATGCCATCCTTCATCTTCAGAGCATCCCTCTTTTCACTGATGTCCACTTCGATTAGATGTTTACGTTCCCTTTGAAAGATATCCCAGATTTGCAGAGTACCCTGGGATGTACCGGCAGCTAGATAGATTCCTTCTCCAGCCATATTACAGACATATGGGCCATCTTTATCACCGTAAACATCATCATCTTCATCCAAACCACTGGGGTCGTTTTCAGAGTGATCTACTTCTTCAGCTACACTCGAGGCGGATTGTTCATCAGCGTCATCACTTCCACTATCAGCGGTGCTTTTTGTAGGCACTTTGCCAGTTAGGCAAAATTGAAATGATACAGCATAGAAGCGGTTTTTGCACCAGTTTGTTTCAAGGTGCTTTGCTTTCATGTATACTTCCTTCCATTTACAAGTAGTCTCGAGTTGAGGCCAGCCAGAGCCGGTTACAACTGCATCGACTGGGAATGTAGGTGAACCTCCTTCACCCGTCACCTGCTCTTGTGAAGTAGATTTAAAGGGAACCTCTTTGAGAAGACGGTCTTCTTCACCATAGCGCTCCCATCCATTATCTTGACAGAGAGGGCGCCACAGTGCATCTTGATTGGCTGCCTCTCTCCAGGATCGATTACATAATGCCACGTGACAGAGATCCGTGACTGTCAGGTCATTCAAAATTATCTCCTTCACCTCGATTGGCAGGCTCGCAAAGTAATCTTTGGAAACCAAGGAAGCCATTGTCAAGCTACATAGAAAGAAAAAAGGCACGTTCAGATAAAAAAATAATAATTGCAGTGCATAATGAATGAGGGACAATTCACACTGAAACGTATAAAGGTCATACACTATCTAGTTAGCCATATAGGTCTTTCTTTTGTTTGTAAACATTGGCGACATTTTGTATGGGCTGCCGTAAGCGCATAAATTGAAGCCGTGGTTGGCAACAAATTTTTCAAAAAAAAAGTTCCTCATAACGCCATCAACACGAAGTAAAAAGGCATATGTAGGAATTATTTTGTAGCTTTGTTGAAAATTTGGTATTTTCAAGTATCAAATAATATTTTGGTTATCTGTAATAACTCTTCTTCATTTTTGCAGTGTTGGACCTTCCATAGTTTTGCAGGCCGTAGTTGGCAAAAATGCAGTTTGCCAACAGAGCGCAGAAAGGTCTATAGGGGTGAACACTGACATCTTCAGCCAATGCGTGGAATCTGGTAGGGTGTTATGTTACACTATGTAGTTTCACTGTTGAATGCGATTAACATATGATACGCACGCGTACTAGTGTACGGTACAAAACACCGTTGTACCATCATCATACAGTATCGTGTAATAGGAAAAGACGCAGAACGAATCTCTCAGATCTGCAACACAACATGCATGTACGACAACAGTCAACGGTTATATAAATAGTCAAACGTGTTTTGAAAATCCCTAAAATGCCTCCTCTACCACGGAGTCCCCCATTGTAGTCCTTGCTCTGAAGACGAAGGATGGCATCATTGTTGCAGACTGCAAGGACGGCAATGGGGGACTCCGTGGTAGAGGAGGCCTTTTAGGGATTTTCAAAACACGTTTGACTATTTATATAACCGTTGACTGTTGTCGGACACAAAGTTATTTTGGCGCATTCAATTTTTCTTGAAATTTGCAGACACATTCAAGCCAGACTTGCAGATACAGGGAATGAAGATATCCAGGATGGCACATGTCAGTGCTGTCGAAGTAGGCCCTTCAAGTATTCACACATGCAAGTTCACTGCACAGAACGAAAAATAAGGTCCAGACGGCCGACTGGAGTCAAACTAGAATCAGTAGGCGCATAATAGTACAACGCAACCAGAATTAAGCGTATACTTGAGCTTGGTCATGCATATAGAGCGACTGACATGACGTGTGTGTGGCTACACTACACTTAGTGAGCATTCAATCAGGCAACATGCATGTCAATTGAACAAGCCGCCTGACAGGTAGGCTCGCTCAGTATGATACGCTCGATCGTTACGTGTAAGATTATTGCAGATGAAACCATTTTCTCCAACAATTGTCGTGCCGGGCAACATTTGTGACAGTACCCGCTTGCTTCATAACTAGCAATCAACTCACCACTCAGATCTTCCAAATGCAGGTAAAAGCTACAAAACAGTCAGCTCAACAACGGGCCAGGCCTATAGACCTTTCTGCGCTTGGTTGGCAAACTGCATTTTTGCCAACCGCGGCCTGCAAAACTATGGAAGGTCCAACACTGCAAAAATGAAGAAGACTTATTACAGATCACCAAAATATTATTTGATACTTGAAAATAGAACATTTGCAACAAAACTACAAAATAATTCCTACATATGCCTTTTTACTATGTGTTGATGGCGTTATGAGGACTTTTTTTAAAAAATATGTTGCCAACCACGGCTTAAATTTATGCGCTTACGGCAGCCCATACAAAATGGCGCCATTGTTTACAAACAAAAGAAAGGCCTATGACTCACATGCCGCGCGCATACGGATTTGGGAGTAAACGAACTGTACAATGGGGCGTTTTACAGTGAACATTGACCTTTCATTCCGTCAAGCTGCACCAGCAAAGACTTGGTATACTGAAAAGCTGATCTGTTTAGCAAACAAAAGACACGTCGGTATCAAGGTTCGCGCACGATATGCAGATTTAAAGTGTGAGGAAAAAAGGAAATCTCATCGTACTCTCGAAAACAGTGCGAGGGTGCATATACGCTGTCAATTAGGGGGAGGGGTTAGATTTGGTCAATGGTGAAATGGCAAAAAGGTCTACTTGATACTTTTTCTTCGTCATTAACCGCGGACTGACTTCGCATGCACACGGATGGCCACAACGTGTTAAAATGTTGAGTTTTTACCATACCGCCGAACAAATTAGCAAACCTTCCTTCAGTACCAGATATTAGTCATGAGCCAGGTTGTAACAGTGTCAATAGTTGTCTTGTGCGTTTCCTACTTCTGTATTTTATTTTGCATTGGAAAGTACTTGAACGGATAAAAGTTAAAATTAAGATTAAAAAAGAAAAATGGCCTAAATAATTGCATTACTAACACTTGTCGTAAAAGTTGGCATCTGAAAAATTTCTATGCAAAACCCCTTACACCGTGGGTTTGTGTAGAAAATATCAGACGGTTACTAATTACTCTCCGTCACGTTCAATTAACTTCGGCAGCGACCGCGAGCCCCATTTGAAAGAAAAAGTTAAGACCGGATCAATTAGGTACCAACTTTTACGACACATTATAATGTGATTTAATCCCTCTAAATACAACTACTTTTTCGTGACAACGTCAGTGACCACTAACCAATCGGTCCGAACCTTCTCAAGAGAGGGTCATTCCCGTGAAGAGAATTAATCATCTGGATACGCAAAAGAACGAGGAGAGTCCGCCTTCTCACATCTCTGCACAGGAAGTATTATTTCAGAGTGGCTTTTTCATATTCTGATCAGCAAAACAGATCTACCCAAGTCTTAAGCCTAAGAGCCTTTCATTGTTGTAATCTGACTTAACTACAATTTGGGATCAAGCATTCAGAACTATTTTGTAATGCGTTTTCTCGTGCAGTACGGTGGCCAAAACAAAAATTCTGCCTTTTCTCTACATGCCTGGATGCAAAGCAGGCATACAATGGATTTCCTTTCAATATCTCATTAAAAAGAGCTTATCAATAAGCCCAGCCTTTTTGAGAGCTTACAAAACGACAAGACCTTTGCATCTTAAATGTTTAATCATCACAGTATTAGCGATGGTGAAAAAAGGGGCAACAAATCAACTCACATACAACCACGTAAATCAATTATATTACGGCCTACACAACTCCAATCCATTACTGCTTTTTAATTGTAAAACTATGGAACCAGGTGGACCATAGAAAGCTCTTGTAGCGGCAAAGAAGCCCTGTGTGTTTTTGTTGTCAGCTAGGTTTTGAATCTCTTTTGCCATGTTATGCCCTACTCCGCAATCTTTCTATACTTGGCTGAGTCGCCTTAGAGTGACTTTGAATGTATGGTATCGTTGAGTATTTGATCTTGATGATCGGGTCAGCACAACCCCATGCAACTTCCGTTTTTGGTGAAGTACAGCCAGAATTTCTTGGTAGTTGTCATCAAACCAACCTGGTGTTTTTTCTTAACAAAGCCTATTGTAGCTGCTGAGGCCTGATACACTGCATTGTGAAGATTTCCCCACTGCTTATTAACTGTGTCCCCATATTGCACGTTAGAAAGTGATGTACAGTGCTATTCTGTGAAAGAATGTGTTGCACCTGTGGTGGGTTACTGAGTCTATCAGTGTTGAGTTTTATTGATATTGTGGCGGAACTCCCAGGGCCAACAGAAAGGTTGTCTGAAACCTATTTGGGTGAAGGCAATCCTCTCAAACCAAAGCTCGGTTAAACGGGGTGAACCGTCGGTGTTGTTGACAGTTGTACTCACGCTGTTTAGTGTTATTAATTGAGGACGGAGTTCTTATGATTATTTTTTTGGGCGGACTTGAGGCTGTTATGGGTGAAGTTGTTGTCAATCCTATGAGAGAGACTCTCCAGGTAATCTTCCCTGTCCTGTTTCGCTTTGCCCCTAAAGACTCCTTTCAAACGTCTGTGTTCTGCGTGGTTGTTGTTCATCCTTGCTGCTGATTTATAATTAGGACTTTAAGTGTTTCGTCTGATAACCATGGACGATGTTTGGTGCGTCGCTTCTTTCCAATAATTGTGTTGGCGAACTCATGGGTGGCTGAAGTGAAACTAAGAGCCTCAATGCAAGCTCTTTGTCTTGGGTTACTCGTACATCATACAAGGGTGCGAGGGCCTTCCTGGAGTGGAAGCTGGGAGTGACAGCCATCCCTGCGATGAGTAAACGATGGTCTGTGTTTACTGGTGCTTCGGCTCCCCTATAGACCCTGTATGACTCGACTATGTTACAGTTCTACGAGGATGGTCTTACTCTTTCCGTATGAGACCATCGTTTGAGATCCAGGCCATCCTGTAAATGTCCCGGCGACGGAACCAACTGCCTCTTATGCAGATATTCTGTGAAGCACAGAGAGAGAGAGAGAGCAGCCCCATCGAGTTGTCGTTTAAGGAGCCGGATCTAGAGCGCCCGAGTTTATGTCCAAAGCCACTCCTTGAGCAGCTTGGTGAGGCGTTTATGTAATCAAGAATGAGTAGTTTTTCGTGAGGGGGCACACCTCCTGTTACAACTGCAAGCTGGTCATAGAACTGGACCTTGGTGGAGTAATCAACTTGATTCGTAGGTGCGTAGGCTACGATGATAGCGAGTTGTCCATGTCGGCATTGTAGCCTTACATAGAGAAGTCGATCTGAGCATGCCTGCCATTCTGTGATAGCTTTGTTGAAAGGTGGACGTACAAATAAGGCGACACTGTTTTTCCTAGTCGGGCCACAAACAATACATCAAGGTAGCCTCTTCCCCAGGTTGACTGTTGCAGTTGGTAAGTCTGGTTCCGGTGATACCTAAGATGTAAATATTTTAGGACTTCATTTGATGGAAGATTGCTTGTTGTTATCCAGAGCCGTTGAGACTCGGGACGTTCCAAGTTGCAATTCAGGCCTACTTTTGAAGGTCTAGTAATAGTATGGGCATCGGAGCTGTTGTGTGGAGCAGGGGCTCTAACCCTGGCGCTTGTAGTTGCTTTCGTAGTAGATCAGTAGCCCCTGTGGGTACCACTAAGATTGTGTGAGTGGAGACGAGAGCACCTTTCTGCGTCTGTCCCTGAGTGTGAGAGACTGTAGGATCCGGGGAGGGCCTACGTCAAAACTGCTGCCCTTCGCCAGGGCTATGATCCACCCGGATCTGATCAGGTGAGAGACGCATCATACCCCTTTGAACCCCAAACCTAAATAGCATTACGCAAAAAAAAAGAAAAAAGTGGGGAATAAACTGGCTTTCAGTCCACGCACTCTCTGTCACAACAAAAACAGAGCATGGTGGGGTATGTCCCCATACACCATAAGCCATAATAAGAATAAAAGGAAAGTGTGCCTAAATCTTAACTTGTTCTTTATATTTCAATTTAAAACTTAAGGCGGGGCTGATTTCAAATTTCATTAAATATTCACAAACTCTACTTTACCTAAAATTTAGCTCATAAAATATTCACAAGAAATTTTAGGGGAAATTGGTTTTAAGGCAGAAAATGAAGGATAATTTTAAGACTTGATGTACACGCCGAATTTAACTGTAAGATTTTGGATACTCGAAAGTTTACAGGATTGTTGACGGGAATAAATGTTATAAAGTCTAAATCACGAAATCTTGCTCTTTAAATATTCAATAGAGATTTTACAGGAAATTCGCATTTATTCTACATAGATAAAATATTTACGTGCTGAAAGATTTTTTGATCACATGCAAAATGTTAAGATAATTTAGAGGTTTATAAAGGGTTAACTACATTTAGCTTCATTAAACTTGTTTTGAAACATTAAAGTTCTGAATAAGTCGCCCGCAGGGTTCATCCTCGTCCATCAAGACTAGACCGACTCGAAGTACACTCTGTTGAGCTCCTCGGTGGCGACTTTGTTGCCATCCAGCCACGTCTGGGTCTAGGTACATTCCTACATGGCCGCAGTCTTTTCTCAGGTGGGGTCGACTGCCTAGGTTGGGTCCCTGCTGCTTTCTTGCTCTGGGACGGTTCGTCCCTCCTAAGACCAGCTGATAACCCTCAGCCTAGCTCCGCCGAGATAACCATACCGATGCCAAGCTTAGCACATCGGCAGAAGCCCATTCACCATAGGATGACGAGATGCAGGACTCCCGAACTCAAACAGAATATAAAAATAACCAGAAATACACAACACCTAACAATTACCATTGACCATGATGGGCAATGGCCCGAGCCAGCCTATTGCTACTCGCTCGAGTGAAATCCGACTCGGTACTGCCTTATAAAGGTGCGACCCTTTTCTTAGCAGCCGAGCTCCTGCTCGCACAGACATCACATCCCCGCAGGAATGACCATGCGTCCGCAGACGTACCTGGCCAGAAGCACTTGGATTTCACTTTGGCCAGAGTTTTACTGACCCCCAAGGAACCACTAAGTTGCCGAGCGTGCAACCCAAACAAAATTCCCTTGATGGCACCACCATTATCCAGCGGGCAGACTTTCCGTCATTTGAGTCCCACCTCCTATAAAGAACTCCTTCACGGACCTTCAACTGGTCACACTGCGACCAATGTATCTTGCAGGTTGCTGATAAGTAGGAAACTTTCTTCCATTACCGTCCTTCATCAACCTTATCAGCCAACTCATGGTGTCATCCTGCAACTGATTCCTTTACAGCACTTTGACCCTTGGTTTCGCCCGGTAACCTGCTGTTATTTCACAAAGGGGTGTGTATACGTACGTACGCATGTGAGTGCGTACGTACATATACTCTTCATGTAGACTTCATGTACACAGCGTAGAATTGAGGTCGTTGCCATTTTTCTGAACACTCAAATTGTGCAGAAAAGATGACCGTGTTTTGCAGTATCAGTTTGTCTCCAGGCTTCAAGCCAGAGTATCAATTTCATAAACTTTCTGACTTTCCGCTAGAATGGATGTGGACGCCAGCCTGAGAGTTGTTGGCTTAGTGGGCCGCGTGCAAATCACTAACTTTGTGATCTTTGGGATGGGCCTGTCTTTAGCGGCCATACAGCTTACAGGCATCGCTTTTACCGTCGACCAATCTATAGCGCATTACTGTAAGCCGGCGCCGGGATTTTCGGCCAATGAAACTGTAGTGTACGTCGAAAAAGATGGTCTCGAAGTACCGGACGGCTGTTACATGTACGAGGTCGACAACGGAACATTTACTGAGGACACAACGATTTGTCAGTACGGCTGGGAATATGCTCCAGAATATGGAGAAAAGAGTGCAACGACGGATGTAAGTAATTTCTTTGGAGGAGAGGGGTGGCAATAGCATTTTCATGAATTATCATTCTAGCACCCTGAGCACCTATAGCCAGTATTAAATACTTGGATCGCTTAAGAAACTCGTTCACATTTGATTATGAGTACAAATATCACCGTATATCCTGTTATTATTATCACATACAGTCAGTAACTGAACATGACTTGAAAATCATACGCTCTATTGCAAAATATATCCCTAATTAAGGCTCTATGTCATCCAAATTTCGCAGAAATACAAGCTCACAGACCTGTGCACCGCTTTTTCAAACCATCAATTATATAACCCACAAAATGACATAATATCGAAGAAGTTGAGGGCATGCAGATAGTGATTTGGCCGACTTAGGCAATTTGTGACCTATTTACTGGCCTGGCCGTCAAAAGAAACGACATTTAACAATTTCACCCCATACCACATTTAAGGCAAGAGAATGGTGCAGTAATCATATTTCATCCAAAAAGTGAAAAACCACACCCACCAGTACCTCCACTCCTCCAGCTGTCACCCCAGGCACTGCAAAACTGGCATAGCGTTTAGCCAGGCACTCAGACTCAGAAGAATTTGTTCTAATGATTCCGATTTCTCCCGCCATACACAGATACTGAGGAACAACTTGGTGGCCAGGGGTCACAGCTCTCGCCAAGTTCATCGTGCCATTGCCAGAGCTAAAGCTATCCCCAGAAATCTAGCTCTCACGGGAAAGGCCCCTGATGCCATGGCCAAACCCATGATTCCCTTGGTTACCACGTTTCACCCCAATCTCCCTCCCCTTCGCAAAATCACTAATGACAATCATCATATCCTCCATACTTCAGATCGCCTTGCCCGCGCCATCCCCAACGGCCCCACATTGGCTTACAGGCGTCCTAAAAATCTACGGGACTTGATTGTTCGAGCTGAAGTCCCATCCTTAGATGCATCCCCTCCCACCCAGCATGGTACTTTCAAGTGCAGTTCCAGATGTGTTGTCTGCCAGATTCATATCCAGGAGTCTGACTCCTTTTCTGGCCACTCTTCTGTCACTACCCACAGAACCATTGGTAACATCACTTGTAACACCCCTAATGTCATATATCTCATTTCTTGCAGGGTCTGTGGAGTGCAGTATGTAGGTGAGACTAAGAATACGCTCAAGAAGCGTTTCTATGCCCACCGGTCAACGGTCAACACCAAGAAACTAGACACCCCTGTTGGTCATCACTTCAACCTGCCTAACCACTCCATTTCTGATATGATTTTGCAGGGCATTGAATCTCTTGGCCATCGCAAGGACTCAGTTCGCCTCAGCAGAGAGAAAGTGTGGATGAATCGTCTTCGAACTATTCAACCACATGGTCTCAACATCCAACTTGGAAATGATTAATCTTTTTCTTCCTCCATTTTCTTCTGTTACAGATAATCCACCTGGTCTTCATTGTTTGTGTTTACCCATCTTCCCCCATCTTTCATCCCTTTCCACCTCAATACTGTCCCCCCCCCCGCATAATCCACCTTCACTCCCACACTCTTTTGTCCGTTCCCACTCCCTGTGACCTTTGATCCTTCCCCTTTCTGGTCCCTCCCCTGTTCATACCAGACCCCTTGTGGTTTGCCATCTCCCTTTGTTTCTTTGTTCTCTCATCCACCCTCCCCTGCATCTTTCCACACCTTTCCCACCTAATCCTCCTTTTGTGTTTCTTCTTTCATCCCTGCATGTTTGTGTGCACCCCCATATTAATAACCTCTGTTATTTCTGTTTTAGCCTCTGAAGAAGAACTTGCTAAGTTCGCAACGTCAGGCCACATTAATTTTTAAATTTATATATTTCAGGTCCACCCAGTCAGTAAGCAGTTTGCAGCAGTCTTACTTTTTTTCAGAATATCTTATAACGTTAGAAGTAAAAGATTATGAATGATAAAACTTCATGGATGACCAGTATATTATGGTACATGGTTCAAGGGGGGGGGGGGGACCTATGGGGTGCTTTAGCCCCCCCCCCCCCCTGTGTATCTCCCAGAAAAAAAAACATTTAAAAAAAAATGGCAGTAGCCAATTTCAGAAGTTGACGTCACATGCAAATTGTCTCAACCCCCCCCCCCTCCAAAAAGTAGTCGTATGATGAGGATCAGGTCTTCATTGCGTGATGATGACCTGGTTTGGGGGTGAGCGCTGTAAATGGAACGAGACAAGTCTCGTGTATTATTTGAGGACAGCATATAATATGGCCCCCTGATCAACGATCCTCCGGTTGAAAACTCTTTTGGAAATTGAATTTTAATACTAACCCGCATATATATGTTGAAGCAGGCCAGATGGCGCAATCTCATAGAATATCTGATTACGCCACAAGTGAAAGATTTGATTTGGTATGAACAGTATATATGGCGCAGGCGCGGTTCTATGGGGGTTGGGGATATGGGCTGCTTCCCCCAAAAAGAAAGTCAACCCCCCCCCCCCCCGCCCCCCAATAAATATATTAAAAACGGCACATTTTACATTACATTAAAGAAGAACAGAGTAATTATTTTTATTTCCACCCAATAAACATGCATTTTGTAACCAATACAAGACTGGGTTTTTTTAAAGAAAATTACGTGCTGTAAAAAAAAGTCCTTGACGTTTTCTACAAGACACGTTTCCAGTAAATGATAAAACAACCCCTCTTTATGAAAGAACTCACTGCATACAGTTTTATGTTTATAATTGTGCATGTATGAACCAAAGCCTCCCTATACAACAGAACATTTCAAACAATGATTACAATTCTCGTGATGAACACCATTATTATTAGTAACCTCTCAAAAACACTAGTATAAGAAAAATGAAAGATAATACATCAACATGGACTGCTATAAGCCATAACTGAAATACAGTTAAGTTGTCATTCCCGTAAAGCCCCTTTTTAAGCGTGAACCAAAACCCCATAATATAGTGTGGTTTCTTTCTAATGTGAAATTTGAGCACAATTCAACTTGAGGGCGCACTGAAGATTATTTGAGTTTTTCTACATGACAAAGCTGTCGGCATCCCTGAACAAATGTCATTCCTAAATGTCTGATGAAGACATTTTGACATTTTTCAAACAGGTTCAAATGATTTTTATTATCGTGAGGAATAAGTCCTAGTTTGAAATCGTTTAAATAATGATGATGTTGTTTAACGCAATTATCAAATGTTTTACTTTTTATTTGTCGTTTGTGAGTACACTTTATGGCACTTTCCTATGTTCAAATGTTTCAGTTCATTTCGCACTGGTGATATCCTGTACATAATGTACCAACGTTGAACGTCGTGACTCAATTACATTATAACATCAAACAATTTGCTAAATTTGTTACAGTATCGCCTCAAACGTAAGAGCTCCATCTTTTTAAAAATGACGGGGATTTCCGGCAATTAAACAAGCGATAATTTGAATTGCATGTATTTCATTGCGGTATTTTAATATGACCTCAGTCCTTTGATAACTTGCTGGCGTCTTCATATGTCTCCGGGAGCGGTTTGTTCTTGGTCTCTGGCAGCATGAACACAAGGCTGCAGGCTACCAGCGACAGACAACCAAATATCAGCATGGGAAGAAAGCTTCTGACTTCTTGCTGCGTAACAGAAAAGGTAGGAATGATGGTTACCATTTGCAAAGTAGTTTCCAGTAACCCAATTCTGTAAAGATTCTGTTACGCAAAGTACACATTCAAACTGATTTCTCTTGACTAAAATTCAGTTTTTCCATCACATCGTTGAAGGGAACCGTACAACAACAGCTTTTGTTTTCGTTAAAAAAAAATTCCCCCAGTCATTTCGGCCAATAGCATTTGTACATGTTTTTGGTCCCCAGCACTTTGGCCACTAAAATCAATCCGATTGCAATTTATACTTGGCAAACACTTGGTCTAAGTTAGACCAGCACCTACCGCTGTGTGCCGAACAATGACGTCACCATGACGTCATCACGAGTCACATGACGTCACAATATAGGAGTATAGTTTGAAGTCCCTTTTCTCCAGAACTACAAGTTCGATTTGGTTGAAACCTGGTATGTGCCTAGATTTGGATGTGTTATAGATGAAAATTGAAGTGACGTCACGATGACGTCATCACATGGCATGTGAAGTTATATTAAAAGTGGATATTTTGAAGGCCTAGATCTACAGAACTATAAGTCCAATTGAGTTGAAAGTTGGTATGTACCTAGACCGGAATGTGTTATAGATGAACATTTAAATGCCGTCACGATGACGTCATCATGGGTCATGTGACGTCACGTTAAAGATTAATGGATGTAATTTTTGAAAATCAATATAAAATCAACCGTGAGAGACCTGAACTTGACGTTTGCGGGAATTGATAGAATAATCCAGGGTCTTTATTTTTTATATTACGTGCAAATTGATGAGAGGGATGAATGTGAACCCCTGTTTGATTATGTGGATCGGTGATTTTTTGACAAGCAGAACGCAAAGGGTGCGTTTCATGAATTCCCTGTCTAATGTTGTTCATAGTAATACAGGGGCTCCACAGGGGTGCGTTTTGTCCCCAGTGCTTTTTACTCTTTACACTAGTGACCTCAGAAGTGAAGACCCTATGTGTCCTATGATAAAATATGCAGATGACACCTCACTGACAGGGTTGATTAGTCATGACAATGAGACTGGATACAGGAACGAAATTGTTAAGATCTGTAATTGGTGCAAAGATAACTTCCTAATATTGAACACGCAGAAGACGCAAGAAATTGTTTTTGATTTTAGGAAAAATCAGAATGTTATCAAACCTGTTGTTATTAGTGGTGATGAAATCCAAATTGTGACAGAGTATAAGTACCTTGGGACGTACATTGATAGTAAATTGAATTGGAATGTGAATACTCTTAAGTTATGTGCCAAGGCTAGTCAACGGCTCTTTTTCCTGCGGAAATTGAAATTATTTCATGTTAATCGTGATATTATGTTGCTTTTTTATCAGAGTGTCATACAGTCCGTCATGTCTTTTTGTTGTATCGCCTGGTTTAATGGTTTGACTGTTGTGAATTCGAACAAGTTGAAAAGGATCACTAAAATTGCCAGCAGGGTCATTGGTGTTGATGTTCTGGACATTCAATCAATGTACCACAATTTTCTTGAATCCAAACTGAGAACCATTATGCAAGACAATACTCACCCACTCCATTCGTTCATAGTACAAAACAGGTCAGGTCGAATCCGTCAATTGAATTCTCGTACAACACGACACAACCTTTCATTTTTACCCAGTGCAGTTTCACATTTTAACAAGAATTATACTAGATAATGCTGTTTTTATAATCGTGCTGTAGTGTGTTTTTAGTGCAATCAGATTAGCCCTTATTCTGTCTTATCTCATAATATTCTTATCCACCCCTCCTCACACATCTACTCATTTGTGTCAGGTTAAATTAGTAAATTGAAATCTCGTTAACACGACACATTTTTTCCCCTTATTTTTACCGAGGGCAATCTCGTGTTTTTAATCAGACTTATAGTAGATATTATGCTTTTTAAATCGTGATGTAAATGTGTGTGTTTATACCCCTCGTACATGTAAGTTTAAACCCTTTCCCTGTTTCCTTTCTCCCCGCTCATATCCCCCTGGCTTTCTAATCCCCCCCCCGGCTTGCCATTGTGTCCTTCCCATGTTTCGTCTTTATACATAATAGCTCTATCAATCCAGATATTTTATTTATTTATTTAATTAGGCTCAATTTGTTGTTCTATTTCTGTTAACGTGTACTCTTGTCAGTGTTCTTATATTGTTACGCCTATTTGTACATTTATGTAATATGTTTTTGTTTTGGTTTTTAATGTGAAGTTTTGAAGTGTTTTATACATCATATTTGTGTGCAGAACGAGGAGACAAGTTTCATGTTTTTACATGATGAGAATAAATAAATAAAATAAAAAATAAAAAAGCCATTATAAGTTGCATTCATGACATACCTAAAATGGGGCAAATTTGTTTTATATTGCCCACTGCTGCGGCTTTAACGTGTATATAGTTAATTTAATTGAATTTGTTAAAACAATATTGTTTTTTAAATTACTATACAATAACATACTGCAGTTAAATATGTAGCGAGCTGGAGCTACAGAAGTTCAGTAGCACTTACTTCGTTCTTAAAAAATACCTGGTATGAGGAAGTTGCATATGTTTATGTCTACATTCATCTGAAATTTCCTGTTATTTTTTAATTAACAAAATACCAAATAATTGGTTCTTTAAGATTGTAAACAGACGTTTGTACCAAAGACAGAAGACGATGCAGATATGTTTGATGAGAACTTTTGTCTTGAAGAGGTCAAGCACAGTGTATTTCTTTTTCTTATTCGATTTGGTCTGCTCCTTTTCACCTGGCTTGGTAAAAGTTTCCATCTTCTCTTCATTCATCAGTTCTTGATTAGTTTCTCCCACGTCCGCAGTGACACTCTCGTGCTGGAGGTCACTCGCTCGATCGTGGTTTGATTTCTCGGACAACTCCATCTTCCACACCAGGCGCACACCTTCCAGTTCCCGCTTTATGAGGAAGCTTCCGTCGTGCTTGATGTTCTTCGATTTGGCAATTTTCCGGAGAACGGCCTCTGCCTTGTCCAACCAGCCTTTCTGAACCAACCATCGTAGTGACTCGTATGTGAAGAACCTGCAGTAAGGGTGTCACGAAAACCTATTCCGTGAGTTGATTTAGTCTAACCTTCAGAAATTCAGATTGAAATTCTTCATGAGATCCCTGTGCTTTACACGAAAACAAATATTGTATGACTCGCAGTTGAACATGCGATTATTATGAGAGTAGTCATTGATACCCGATATGGGTACCAAGGGCAATGACAAAAGGGATTCGAATTTTAGACAGTGCTTTGCACCTTGAATATTTTTGTCACAGCCGGGTCGATTCCTGTAGCTTTGGGGCATATTTTACATGCGGCGTAGCACTCTCAAGTTGCAAAAGAAAAGACACACATAGTAGTAATTCTTTTCTGGTCCTGATGAAAGTTTTTCCCAGTTAATGCAATCTTTGTACTTACATCATATTGATGTTTATAAATGACGAAAATATACAAACTTGTAACACAGGATCTACGTAAGGTATCGAAATATTTACCATCATTTTGTTGATAAAAATAATGCCGAATTCGCATATTTCTTAAGATGATCAAACGGCGTGCCTTCAACAAACATGCTTGAATTTCAAGCCATTATTTGACCAGAGTAATTTAAGTAAAGAAAAAAAGATGGAAGAAGGCAAACTGTTACCACATAAGGACATGGACTGGTAGGCATATCAATGAGGTGAAAAGTTGGAAGTAACGCCAGTTGGGGAACAAGTACGCCAAAGGTGCGACGAGAATGACACCAAAACTCCAGAAATACTGGACGCACACGTGGCCCAGTAATCTCTTTTTAGCTGTGAACATCTCCACCGCTCGGATGTAACCAACCAAATAATTTCCCTGCGAGATTTGAAAAAAAAAATCTTTTGAAGATTTAAGAACACTGCTCACAACCTCCTTTAAGTTACCCTTTGCAAACATTCCTGAGATCTACAAAAGTACACACGTATACTGTGGGCTAAAATCGTCGTCGTCACTGTTGCGTCATTGACATTGCCCCAACCCACAATATAAGTTAAGAAGTGCTCTTAGTTTGACCACGCGTCGACCGAACATGTCCGCGGCTTGGCCAGTGATAAAACCACCGACAAGGATACCAGCAAAGTGACATGATATCAGTAGATTAGCCAGATAGCCACGGTCGCAGACAAGGTCAAGCTATAGGAGAGAGAATGAAAACCAAAAGTAAGGGTACAGTGTTGAGGATGGGGTCCGCTCATTAGTCCGACGCCTCGTAGGTCCGACGCTTCATAAGTCCGACAAAATCGAATCCCCTAAACAAATAAAGGCCCATAAGTCCGACGCCTCATAGGTCCGACACCTCATAAGTCCGACGCCTCATAGGTCCGACGCCTCATAGCTCCGACACCTCGTAAGTCCGACAAATTAAACGCCAAATTAAAATGCTTACGACACACTTGGTCGTTCTCATACTATTTGGCCGAGAGACATTGAGACTGTTGTCAAACTAAGAGCACTTCTTAACTTATATTGTGGGTTGGGGCAATGTCAATGACGCAACAGTGACGACGACGATTTTAGCCCACAGTATACGTGTGTACTTTTGTAGATCTCAGGAATGTTTGCAAAGGGTAACTTAAAGGAGGTTGTGAGCAGTGTTCTTAAATCTTCAAAAGATTTTTTTTTTCAAATCTCGCAGGGAAATTATTTGGTTGGTTACATCCGAGCGGTGGAGATGTTCACAGCTAAAAAGAGATTACTGGGCCACGTGTGCGTCCAGTATTTCTGGAGTTTTGGTGTCATTCTCGTCGCACCTTTGGCGTACTTGTTCCCCAACTGGCGTTACTTCCAACTTTTCACCTCATTGATATGCCTACCAGTCCATGTCCTTATGTGGTAACAGTTTGCCTTCTTCAATCTTTTTTTCTTTACTTAAATTACTCTGGTCAAATAATGGCTTGAAATTCAAGCATGTTTGTTGAAGGCACGCCGTTTGATCATCTTAAGAAATATGCGAATTCGGCATTATTTTTATCAACAAAATGATGGTAAATATTTCGATACCTTACGTAGATCCTGTGTTACAAGTTTGTATATTTTCGTCATTTATAAACATCAATATGATGTAAGTACAAAGATTGCATTAACTGGGAAAAACTTTCATCAGGACCAGAAAAGAATTACTACTATGTGTGTCTTTTCTTTTGCAACTTGAGAGTGCTACACCGCATGTAAAATATGCCCCAAAGCTACAGGAATCGACCCGGCTGTGACTAAAATATTCAAGGTGCAAAGCACTGTCTAAAATTCGAATCCCTTTTGTCATTGCCCTTGGTACCCATATCGGGTATCAATGACTACTCTCATAATAATCGCATGTTCAACTGCGAGTCATACAATATTTGTTTTCGTGTAAAGCACAGGGATCTCATGAAGAATTTCAATCTGAATTTCTGAAGGTTAGACTAAATCAACTCACGGAATAGGTTTTCGTGACACCCTTACTGCAGGTTCTTCACATACGAGTCACTACGATGGTTGGTTCAGAAAGGCTGGTTGGACAAGGCAGAGGCCGTTCTCCGGAAAATTGCCAAATCGAAGAACATCAAGCACGACGGAAGCTTCCTCATAAAGCGGGAACTGGAAGGTGTGCGCCTGGTGTGGAAGATGGAGTTGTCCGAGAAATCAAACCACGATCGAGCGAGTGACCTCCAGCACGAGAGTGTCACTGCGGACGTGGGAGAAACTAATCAAGAACTGATGAATGAAGAGAAGATGGAAACTTTTACCAAGCCAGGTGAAAAGGAGCAGACCAAATCGAATAAGAAAAAGAAATACACTGTGCTTGACCTCTTCAAGACAAAAGTTCTCATCAAACATATCTGCATCGTCTTCTGTCTTTGGTACAAACGTCTGTTTACAATCTTAAAGAACCAATTATTTGGTATTTTGTTAATTAAAAAATAACAGGAAATTTCAGATGAATGTAGACATAAACATATGCAACTTCCTCATACCAGGTATTTTTTAAGAACGAAGTAAGTGCTACTGAACTTCTGTAGCTCCAGCTCGCTACATATTTAACTGCAGTATGTTATTGTATAGTAATTTAAAAAACAATATTGTTTTAACAAATTCAATTAAATTAACTATATACACGTTAAAGCCGCAGCAGTGGGCAATATAAAACAAATTTGCCCCATTTTAGGTATGTCATGAATGCAACTTATAATGGCTTTTTTATTTTTTATTTTATTTATTTATTCTCATCATGTAAAAACATGAAACTTGTCTCCTCGTTCTGCACACAAATATGATGTATAAAACACTTCAAAACTTCACATTAAAAACCAAAACAAAAACATATTACATAAATGTACAAATAGGCGTAACAATATAAGAACACTGACAAGAGTACACGTTAACAGAAATAGAACAACAAATTGAGCCTAATTAAATAAATAAATAAAATATCTGGATTGATAGAGCTATTATGTATAAAGACGAAACATGGGAAGGACACAATGGCAAGCCGGGGGGGGGGGGGGGATTAGAAAGCCAGGGGGATATGAGCGGGGAGAAAGGAAACAGGGAAAGGGTTTAAACTTACATGTACGAGGGGTATAAACACACACATTTACATCACGATTTAAAAAGCATAATATCTACTATAAGTCTGATTAAAAACACGAGATTGCCCTGGGTAAAAATAAGGGGAAAAAATGTGTCGTGTTAACGAGATTTCAATTTACTAATTTAACCTGACACAAATGAGTAGATGTGTGAGGAGGGGTGGATAAGAATATTATGAGATAAGACAGAATAAGGGCTAATCTGATTGCACTAAAAACACACTACAGCACGATTATAAAAACAGCATTATCTAGTATAATTCTTGTTAAAATGTGAAACTGCACTGGGTAAAAATGAAAGGTTGTGTCGTGTTGTACGAGAATTCAATTGACGGATTCGACCTGACCTGTTTTGTACTATGAACGAATGGAGTGGGTGAGTATTGTCTTGCATAATGGTTCTCAGTTTGGATTCAAGAAAATTGTGGTACATTGATTGAATGTCCAGAACATCAACACCAATGACCCTGCTGGCAATTTTAGTGATCCTTTTCAACTTGTTCGAATTCACAACAGTCAAACCATTAAACCAGGCGATACAACAAAAAGACATGACGGACTGTATGACACTCTGATAAAAAAGCAACATAATATCACGATTAACATGAAATAATTTCAATTTCCGCAGGAAAAAGAGCCGTTGACTAGCCTTGGCACATAACTTAAGAGTATTCACATTCCAATTCAATTTACTATCAATGTACGTCCCAAGGTACTTATACTCTGTCACAATTTGGATTTCATCACCACTAATAACAACAGGTTTGATAACATTCTGATTTTTCCTAAAATCAAAAACAATTTCTTGCGTCTTCTGCGTGTTCAATATTAGGAAGTTATCTTTGCACCAATTACAGAACTTAACAATTTCGTTCCTGTATCCAGTCTCATTGTCATGACTAATCAACCCTGTCAGTGAGGTGTCATCTGCATATTTTATCATAGGACACATAGGGTCTTCACTTCTGAGGTCACTAGTGTAAAGAGTAAAAAGCACTGGGGACAAAACGCACCCCTGTGGAGCCCCTGTATTACTATGAACAACATTAGACAGGGAATTCATGAAACGCACCCTTTGCGTTCTGCTTGTCAAAAAATCACCGATCCACATAATCAAACAGGGGTTCACATTCATCCCTCTCATCAATTTGCACGTAATATAAAAAATAAAGACCCTGGATTATTCTATCAATTCCCGCAAACGTCAAGTTCAGGTCTCTCACGGTTGATTTTATATTGATTTTCAAAAATTACATCCATTAATCTTTAACGTGACGTCACATGACCCATGATGACGTCATCGTGACGGCATTTAAATGTTCATCTATAACACATTCCGGTCTAGGTACATACCAACTTTCAACTCAATTGGACTTATAGTTCTGTAGATCTAGGCCTTCAAAACATCCACTTTTAATATAACTTCACATGCCATGTGATGACGTCATCGTGACGTCACTTCAATTTTCATCTATAACACATCCAAATCTAGGCACATACCAGGTTTCAACCAAATCGAACTTGTAGTTCTGGAGAAAAGGGACTTCAAACTATACTCCTATATTGTGACGTCATGTGACTCGTGATGACGTCATGGTGACGTCATTGTTCGGCACACAGCGGTAGGTGCTGGTCTAACTTAGACCAAGTGTTTGCCAAGTATAAATTGCAATCGGATTGATTTTAGTGGCCAAAGTGCTGGGGACCAAAAACATGTACAAATGCTATTGGCCGAAATGACTGGGGGAATTTTTTTTTAACGAAAACAAAAGCTGTTGTTGTACGGTTCCCTTCAACGATGTGATGGAAAAACTGAATTTTAGTCAAGAGAAATCAGTTTGAATGTGTACTTTGCGTAACAGAATCTTTACAGAATTGGGTTACTGGAAACTACTTTGCAAATGGTAACCATCATTCCTACCTTTTCTGTTACGCAGCAAGAAGTCAGAAGCTTTCTTCCCATGCTGATATTTGGTTGTCTGTCGCTGGTAGCCTGCAGCCTTGTGTTCATGCTGCCAGAGACCAAGAACAAACCGCTCCCGGAGACATATGAAGACGCCAGCAAGTTATCAAAGGACTGAGGTCATATTAAAATACCGCAATGAAATACATGCAATTCAAATTATCGCTTGTTTAATTGCCGGAAATCCCCGTCATTTTTAAAAAGATGGAGCTCTTACGTTTGAGGCGATACTGTAACAAATTTAGCAAATTGTTTGATGTTATAATGTAATTGAGTCACGACGTTCAACGTTGGTACATTATGTACAGGATATCACCAGTGCGAAATGAACTGAAACATTTGAACATAGGAAAGTGCCATAAAGTGTACTCACAAACGACAAATAAAAAGTAAAACATTTGATAATTGCGTTAAACAACATCATCATTATTTAAACGATTTCAAACTAGGACTTATTCCTCACGATAATAAAAATCATTTGAACCTGTTTGAAAAATGTCAAAATGTCTTCATCAGACATTTAGGAATGACATTTGTTCAGGGATGCCGACAGCTTTGTCATGTAGAAAAACTCAAATAATCTTCAGTGCGCCCTCAAGTTGAATTGTGCTCAAATTTCACATTAGAAAGAAACCACACTATATTATGGGGTTTTGGTTCACGCTTAAAAAGGGGCTTTACGGGAATGACAACTTAACTGTATTTCAGTTATGGCTTATAGCAGTCCATGTTGATGTATTATCTTTCATTTTTCTTATACTAGTGTTTTTGAGAGGTTACTAATAATAATGGTGTTCATCACGAGAATTGTAATCATTGTTTGAAATGTTCTGTTGTATAGGGAGGCTTTGGTTCATACATGCACAATTATAAACATAAAACTGTATGCAGTGAGTTCTTTCATAAAGAGGGGTTGTTTTATCATTTACTGGAAACGTGTCTTGTAGAAAACGTCAAGGACTTTTTTTTACAGCACGTAATTTTCTTTAAAAAAACCCAGTCTTGTATTGGTTACAAAATGCATGTTTATTGGGTGGAAATAAAAATAATTACTCTGTTCTTCTTTAATGTAATGTAAAATGTGCCGTTTTTAATATATTTATTGGGGGGCGGGGGGGGGCGGGGTTGACTTTCTTTTTGGGGGAAGCAGCCCATATCCCCAACCCCCATAGAACCGCGCCTGCGCCATATATACTGTTCATACCAAATCAAATCTTTCACTTGTGGCGTAATCAGATATTCTATGAGATTGCGCCATCTGGCCTGCTTCAACATATATATGCGGGTTAGTATTAAAATTCAATTTCCAAAAGAGTTTTCAACCGGAGGATCGTTGAACAGGGGGCCATATTATATGCTGTCCTCAAATAATACACGAGACTTGTCTCGTTCCATTTACAGCGCTCACCCCCAAACCAGGTCATCATCACGCAATGAAGACCTGATCCTCATCATACGACTACTTTTTGGAGGGGGGGGGGTTGAGACAATTTGCATGTGACGTCAACTTCTGAAATTGGCTACTGCCATTTTTTTTTAAATGTTTTTTTTCTGGGAGATACACAGGGGGGGGGGGGGGGGGGCTAAAGCACCCCATAGGTCCCCCCCCCCCCCCTTGAACCATGCACCATAATATACTGGTCATCCATGAAGTTTTATCATTCATAATCTTTTACTTCTAACGTTATAAGATATTCTGAAAAAAAGTAAGACTGCTGCAAACTGCTTACTGACTGGGTGGACCTGAAACTGGGTGGACCTGACCTAATGTGGCCTGACGTTGCGAACTTAGCAAGTTCTTCTTCAGAGGCTAAAACAGAAATAACAGAGGTTATTAATATGGGGGTGCACACAAACATGCAGGGATGAAAGAAGAAACACAAAAGGAGGATTAGGTGGGAAAGGTGTGGAAAGATGCAGGGGAGGGTGGATGAGAGAACAAAGAAACAAAGGGAGATGGCAAACCACAAGGGGTCTGGTATGAACAGGGGAGGGACCAGAAAGGGGAAGGATCAAAGGTCACAGGGAGTGGGAACGGACAAAAGAGTGTGGGAGTGAAGGTGGATTATGCGGGGGGGGGGACAGTATTGAGGTGGAAAGGGATGAAAGATGGGGGAAGATGGGTAAACACAAACAATGAAGACCAGGTGGATTATCTGTAACAGAAGAAAATGGAGGAAGAAAAAGATTAATCATTTCCAAGTTGGATGTTGAGACCATGTGGTTGAATAGTTCGAAGACGATTCATCCACACTTTCTCTCTGCTGAGGCGAACTGAGTCCTTGCGATGGCCAAGAGATTCAATGCCCTGCAAAATCATATCAGAAATGGAGTGGTTAGGCAGGTTGAAGTGATGACCAACAGGGGTGTCTAGTTTCTTGGTGTTGACCGTTGACCGGTGGGCATAGAAACGCTTCTTGAGCGTATTCTTAGTCTCACCTACATACTGCACTCCACAGACCCTGCAAGAAATGAGATATATGACATTAGGGGTGTTACAAGTGATGTTACCAATGGTTCTGTGGGTAGTGACAGAAGAGTGGCCAGAAAAGGAGTCAGACTCCTGGATATGAATCTGGCAGACAACACATCTGGAACTGCACTTGAAAGTACCATGCTGGGTGGGAGGGGATGCATCTAAGGATGGGACTTCAGCTCGAACAATCAAGTCCCGTAGATTTTTAGGACGCCTGTAAGCCAATGTGGGGCCGTTGGGGATGGCGCGGGCAAGGCGATCTGAAGTATGGAGGATATGATGATTGTCATTAGTGATTTTGCGAAGGGGAGGGAGATTGGGGTGAAACGTGGTAACCAAGGGAATCATGGGTTTGGCCATGGCATCAGGGGCCTTTCCCGTGAGAGCTAGATTTCTGGGGATAGCTTTAGCTCTGGCAATGGCACGATGAACTTGGCGAGAGCTGTGACCCCTGGCCACCAAGTTGTTCCTCAGTATCTGTGTATGGCGGGAGAAATCGGAATCATTAGAACAAATTCTTCTGAGTCTGAGTGCCTGGCTAAACGCTATGACAGTTTTGCAGTGCCTGGGGTGACAGCTGGAGGAGTGGAGGTACTGGTGGGTGTCTGTGGGTTTGGAATACAGGTCAGTGGTTAGTGAGTTGCCTTGCTTGCGGACGGTGACATCCAGAAAGTGGGTTTGGTGAGCCGAGAACACCGATGTGAATTTGATGGTTCTGTGGAAGGAATTGATGTGGTTAGTGAAGGTCAAGAGACTGTCCTCATCGCTGGTCCAGATGAAAAAAACATCATCAATATATCGTCGCTTTGCTCACGAAGTGACAAAACCTCAAAATTTGACAAAGTTCATACTGAGATAATCGCATTTGAAGTTATTCATTTTTTCAAATGACATTTTCGACCACTTTGCAGTAACAGAATTCGGAAATGTTTGCATTGTCCGATAGGATATGATTTGCTCTTTGTTAATTCATAGTTGTTTGTTAAAAATAGTTCGTAATTAAACAGTATTTCATTAATAAAACTTTTTTGCACTTCGTGAGAACATGAATACTTTGGCTCCCATATTTTGCCAATTACTTTGTACACAGTTTTTGTCACTTCGTGGGATCATGAATCGCGGAGGCTTTACTTATTTGTACTTTTTTCGACGAAACAAACTTGTTACTTTTGCGCGTCACAACAGTTGAGCGCGCGCGCGTCTGTTCTTTTCAACATCGTTCGCGCGCGCGTATGCTCCCATCCTGCCGCGTGTAGACCAATGTACAATTTCTGGCCCTGCTCAAGAGGTGACCTTTTGTCACTGCGTGAGAACATTTTACACTTCGTAAAAATGAAAATCACCGATTTCAGGCTTTTTGTCAATTGTTTGTTTACAATAATTAAGAAAGTAAACAACGTTTTGCCTTGAAACATGGTCAAATTGTTCCTTGAGACAACTATAATAAAATGGCTAGTAAAACTCAAAATCGAATAATTATCGATTTTCGAGGTTTTTGTCACTTCGTGAGCAAAGCGACGATATCTCCACCAGATCCAAGGGCGACATGGGGCCGAGGCAAGAATGCGTTCTTCGAGGTCACCCATGAAGAGGCAAGCCATGGATGGGGCCATGCGAGTGCCTATTGCAGTGCCGTGTACCTGTAGATAGTGTTCACCAAGGAAGGAAAAATTGTTCTTCGTTAGTATAAGTCTCATGAAGGGTGCCAACATCACTGATGGGAGGAGTCGTGTGTCCTGCCTTGGCCAGAGCCAAGGAGCAAGCACGAACACCCTCCTCATGTGGGATGTTGGTGTACAGAGATGAGACGTCGAAAGTCCCAATGATGGCCGTGCTGGGAATCTGGTCCTTGATTCCTTCAAGCTTGCGTAGGAAGTCTGGGGTGTCGTGAATGTATGACGAAATCTGTGGGACAAGGGGTTTGAGAAAACTGTCAATGAACAGGGAGATGCGTTCCGTGGGTGAGCCATTACCGGAGATGATGGGTCTACCGGGGTTGCCAGCCTTGTGAATCTTGGGTAGAAGGTAAAATCTGGCAGTCCTACAATCACAGGGAGAAAGAAATTTGTGAGCTTTCTTGGACAACTGGTCACGTGATCGCATATCGTCAAGTGCCTGTGGGGTCAGAGTCAAGGCGGGTATAGTTAGTGCGATTATCCAACTGACGGTGGGCCTCATCAATGTACTGCTGACGATCCATGATGACCACAGCTGAACCTTTATCTGCTGGCTTGATGATGATGTCGGTGCGAGAGCGTAAGGAGTTGAGAGCCAGGCGCTCCTCTCTGGGGAAATTATCATGAGTCCTGTGGGGGAAGTTGTCCGGGTTAGTGACTTGGGAATTTATAACTTGAACGTATGTCTCTATGGCTGGCACACGATTCTTGGGGGGTACCCATGAACTCTTGACTCGAAAAGGCTCTGGCTCACACGGTTCACTGTCCAGGAAAAACTCACGCAGACGGATTCTACGGTAGTATTCCGTGAGATCTTGGCTGAGCTGAACCTGGTTCACAGAACGGGGAGCCGGGACAAAAATTGAGACCCTTGGAGAGAAGTTTGTGCTCTGCGTCAGATATTGATGAGGAAGAAAGATTAACTACAGTGTTGACAGGGGGTTCTGGCGGTGGCGTGGTAGATGG